TTTGCCATTGCAGAGAAAGTTTAACTTGTTGGTAAAAACAATTTGCAAAGTTGTGCTGCTCTGATTAAGTATTCCCCTGCAATGTTCCAGCGCTGACTTGATTGTCAGCCGGGTAATAGGCAGTCAGCCATTAAGCATTGCCAATACCATTGCCACAACCCTATTAGTGCCAACTTCCATTCCAGTTTACCTGTTGTCATGAGATGTGGTTTTCCAGCCACCCTGCAGTTTTCTTTCGGGTTCTGTCTGTCCGACCCAAAAGATAACTTGGCTCGTTTACGCTGTCTTCCATTACACGTTAAATGAAAATGTCAGATAGCCAGCCATCCATCCCAGTCGGCCAGTCATCTGCCACATTCCTTGCCCACTCATCCTTGGTCTCCAGTCTCCACACTCCCATACCCAGTCCCACTCCCATTTCCACTCCCATTGAGTTGGGGCCCTCCTTTGGCGCCACGATTCGATTTGTGCCAACTAATGAGCTCTTAATGTGCGTTTATTCTTACGCATAACGAGCTTGCCAAACGTAATTACGTCCTGCCAATGTGTGTACGGCAGTTGTGGGTGTACACTCGTATCTCCCTCGCTCTCTCTGACTCTGACTCTACCTCTGCCACTCTCTGTCTGCGTGTGCGTGCGGTATCAGTGAGAGGCTGCCATGTTGGCGCGCTGCTTAATTGAAGTGGAGCGACGGACGGCCAGGGTGTTGCTGGGAGTGAGCTCTGTCTGGTCTGTGTGGATACAGTCGCTATCTGTAGGTTTGTGGGTGTGGGTGTGGGTATCCATTTGTGCCTGTGCCTGTGTGTGTCATGACGACGTTGCCTTGCGTCATTTTCATTTACGCCACATCCGCAAACGTTAACTCTTCTCCATGCCACTTCGTGCTGCTTTTCTCAGGATTTTTTTTTTGTTTTAAATTAATTTGCTTTTAATTTGCTTTATTATGTGGCAAACTCTCCTCCTTTCGCTGTATTTAATTAGTTTGCTTTTATCGTTAAGCAGTTAAGATGGCATCTTTGAGCAGGTTCGGAGAGAGGGGGAGAGAATGTGCGCGAGTCTCTCCATCAAGCATACGCCGCATGGGCTGGCATATATACTCGCACTCGCACTCGTATACTCGTGTAATTGAGTGATCTGAAAAGCTAGAGGGGGGTTTCCGATTGCATCTATCTTTGCGGACGGACACTGACATGGCAGATGTGTCCGGACGGCACTTAGCCGGGTTCTGCTTATCATTTAGGACGGATCAAGATCGGTTTGCGCATGCGTGAATGTTTCAGAAAAGGTTGCTCTTGCAGCAGCAGGGGAACCAGTTTATTGAGTAACCTTACTCTAGCCTCTTCCTCCCTTCCTTTCTCCCAGACACCTTTGTTCTCTCTCTCTCTCTCCTGCCTCTCTTGTGCTGGAGGTGTGGCCTAAAGAGTCGCTCTCTGAGCGCTTCGGCGCAGTAGCTCACTCACACACACACACAGTCTCCCGCTCATTCAGGCACTCACACATATGCCTGCCTTGTGGTAGACCATTGAAAAAGTGATGAAAATAACTCTCTGTCACTTTATTGGCGCTTAACGAGTTTGAGTTGATGAAGAATTTAATTTATGATGCTGCTCACACCATGGCCGACGCGAAAGAGATAGCAACAGTGTGTGAGAGAGAGAGAGAGAGAGATTGGGAGAGAGATGGAAGAGTGAGGGAGAGAGGAGGTGTTGCCGGTCCTAAAACCGCAGAATACAAGGCCTGAACTCGCAGGGAAAAGTTGGAACGAGAGAGAGAGAGGTGGAGTGTGAGAGCTCAAAAAAAGAAGAAATATTAATGAACTCGTAACTGTCGCTTTTGCAAATTGGTCTACATGTGTGTGTGTGAGTGAGTGTGTATGTGTGTGTGTTTGTGCACTTTTTGTATGAGTATGTGTGCGAGTGTGTGGCACTCACTCACATGGACAGGAGGCAACGGCAGCAGCAGCAGCCGCCGCTGCCGGCAGACGTCAAGCTTTGATGATTTAATTTTCTGGTCTTCTAATTTAATTTTATTATAGAAATACAGACATGGGCGTGTGTGTGTGTGTGTGTGTGAGGGCAGAGGGATAGGGAAGAAAGCCGCGTGCTCGTGTGTGTGCCACAGTCTATACAGCTATACATACATACATGCAAATTCGTTAATGGAAAATGGTGGCGTTTAATTGAAAAAGGAAGTGAGCCAAAGGGCTGAGCGACAGAGACAGGACACACACACACACACGAGCGTGAGAGTGTGAGATATAAAAAAAGGACCGAGTTTTCGATTGAAATTAATTTTCATGTGTGTTCCCGCCTCTTCGAGCCGCCTACCCAACTCTTTTCAGGCGACATTCTGTTTGACGTTTTTTTTTGTGTAAATATACCAACATATATTTAATATGATTTTTTTTTATTATTTTTAATGCGGTTTCTGTAGCAATATCAATTTGCAATTAATTGAATTTTAATTCATTCACAGAAACGAAGAGGAACGTAGAGACCAAATTGGTAGAAAGAAGAGCTGAAGCTTCAGGTTTCTCCTTCCCCACAAAGTTAATTAAATTAAATATTGCACACAGATAATTACAAAATGGCGTTGATTAATCGACAGCCACCATATTGATTTTGCCAACAATATTTAATGATTAACAATTAACATTGAACAGGGATTTTTGATGCAGGACCGGAAATGACATGCCATCCCAGTCGCTTCACTTCGCCATCCCGCCAGGACACAAAAGCCTTAATAAAAGCAATTAAAATTCATTAGCTGCATATACACTCTGTTATACACACACACAGACACATACACAAACACACACTCACACACTAATGCCATCATGCGCTCGTTTTCTCAATTATTCATTCAATTTTGCATGCCACAAAAGCAAGAGCCAAGGCAGCAAGTTCAGGACCTGCACCAACGACGCCAAACATACATATTCATGCGGCTAAATGAAAACGGCAACACTTAAATGCAATTTGCCTCAATTTTCCCAGCAGCAGAAGGAGCTGGCTCTGGCCCGCCCCCCCTTTCTCACTCTCCCGCTCTTTCTCTTTCTATCTATCTCTCTCACTCTGTCACCGGCGAGCACGTCGTCTTGGCTTAGAGCATCTTAACGTCTTTTCATGGCACTTACATCGTCATTCTATTCGTCTAATTTCATTTTCTTGCCATTTTCAGTGAAGCAGAAACTACGTGCCCTGCTCGGGGCAGAAGGGAGCGGTTACAGCTGAGGATTGAAACTGGGACTGCGACTGGATTGGGGCTGGGCTCCAGTGATTCAGCTCCTGAAGGAGTTGGATTTCGGCAGCCTGAATGCCTCATTCAAATTGCGTGCAATTATATATGTTGATTGATATGTTTGTATTGCAGCGACTCGATTCTCAAGATTTCCGTTTTCGGTTGTAACCGCAAGGGTTTCAGTTCTGTCAAATCAGTTTGAACCGAATTATATCGATCAGTGAGTGAATATATTTGAGATTCAATTGATCGGATCAGATATCGATCCAATCACATAATCATATAACTAAGACTTTTTTTGCCTACATATTTAAATGCATAATTTGTGCAAAATAAATCCAAGTACGTTTCTGGGGAAAATTGCATTAATTTTCTAACAAACATTTTCATTTTAATTGAACATTTTGTGTGCAATCAATTTGCATATCAATGGAATTATACATTTTTAATTGCATTTCTCGCACAAAAGTTTTAGTTTTCGGCCAAAAAATAAAAATAATAGACGTGGCCGAAAAATTAAGCTTTGTTTGTGGGAATTGAAATTCAATTAAGTTTTCAAAACACGTAAATTGCGAATGGCCGCGTCGCACCAATATTGACAGAGGCACAGCAAGCGGCAGAGAGAGAGAGAGTCAGAAAGAGAGAGAGTCAGAGAGAGAAAGAGATAGACACAACAACAACATCATCGAAACTTGTTTGAATAATTTCATTAGCGCTGATTTGCAGCAAACGCAATTGCATTGAAATTCACTTGGCCTGCCATTGATTAAACAAGAGTCGATGCGATGTCCAGGTCCATTCGAATTGGACGAGCCGATTGGTGGAGGGAGAGACACGGTGACGAGATGGAGCGATGCGGTCAGTGCTTCCACTTGCCCCAACTCTGAAATAAAAACTAATTACAGGGCAATGGCATGCACTGACCATGGTCGAGAATGTCCATCTATGGTTAGGCGCAAACTGATAATTATAAGCCTGGAAACTGGAACTGGAACTCTGATTGCCGAGCCGAGCAGAAGCAGCTGTAACAGAGGGGAATACAAATACCCCGCCTGGAGGGTGACTGGGATGGACGGATGGAGAGCGGAAGATGAGGGGTGCGTCGCTACAGGAGGTCCAACAAACCTAAAACCCAATCCCAGGCCAGAGCAAATATGTCCGCAACAGTTTCCGTTGCACTAACGAAATTACAGACGCAGACACACACGCACACACACGCACAGACACAGATGCACACAAATACAAATGCAGATACAGATCCAACCAAACAAGAAACACATAGGAGAGCCATGTCCTGCGGCGCTGAGGCGCATAGGAAGCGGTCCCGGACACTGACGCAACCCGGGGAACGTCCTTAGCTAATGCTAATGCTAATGCTCTTTGAACGTCTAATTAGTGGATTAGTATATAGGCAAACTATTTGCCCAACAAACGACTAACCTCATGAAATTGTGCGGAAGATTGCCCAAGTCCAATTAGTCCCTGCTTGGAAGCTAATGAAGCCCTGACAAAACGAGAGAACTTTCCAAACACACTACATACAAAGGATAGCAAATGTTTGTGTGTGTGTGTGGGCGTATAAAAAATATATATATTTTTTCTTTTTCAATTGTTAAGAAGGGAAAGGTGAGAAGAGTTAATTGATTGGAGACCGTAGAGCATGCTGTACTATTTTTGGTAAGGTTCTGTCCTACTGTCCCTGCAATTGGATCTTGTATATTAAGTGGGTATTCTTTGCTTGCGATGTCTCTTGATTTTTAGACTGCCAGGTTTCATATTGTAACAGCAGAAACCATTGAGTGTGTTAAGTTGAGTTTTGTTATTCTGTTCTGCCTCTTCTTTCCTAAAGAGAGTATTGTTTAACCGATTATTGTTTTTATATACGATTGTACAGACACACTCACCTATCGGTGTATACGATAGCGATTATAGAAAATCGTACGATCTTCGAGTGGCTGCACGGGTCGAGCGTTGGATCCGATGCGGGCGCCATGGGGGTTTCTCAGCTGGCGGAACTCGTTCAGCTGACGCTCGCTAATAGACAAGGTATTGGGATTGATGAGCCACTCGACCCCACGGTGGCAGGGTGGCTGCGTGAGCGATCCATTGTAGCTGAAGAACTCTGTGTAGAATGGTAGCATGAGGTAGCTGATGGGGAAGGGCGGAACCTCTACAGTGCTGCCCGCGTTCTGGACAGCCACGAGATGCTGGATGAGCACTTCCAGGTAGGGATTGTCCCGGCCCACCTCGAACATGTAGGAGATCATCAAAATACTTTGGCTGGAAATACAGCTCACGGACTGTGGAGGCGTGTGGAGGCACTGCATCTCCAGCGGATAGTGGGCGTTGTCGACGGTGTGCTCGGAACCCATGCTGTTCGACCAGCTCCAGCGGAAGCTGATCTCTCGAAACTCAAAGCGTCCCAGCAGATCCCCGCCGCCTATCATGGGCACACAGCTCGGATAGGAGGCTCGAAGCACCAAGGTGTGGCCGTTGTTCTGCAGAAGTATGCCAGCGGGCAGAACATTCCCGTTTGTCCACTCCAGGGGTATTGTGAAGTAGCTGTTCTCCATGCAGCACTGCTCGATGTTGACGGGACTCTGATTGTTGGTAGGCACATTCCAGCTGTGGGGACCTTTAATAGCTCCATAATCGAAAGTCGACATCCATCCGCTGCCCATCGCTACTCCGCCGGCCCTACTTGGACCGGCAGACAGTCTTGATCCTCGGGCCGTACCTGCTCTGTTGACTGCGCCTGCGCCTCCCCCCAGCGTTTCCCACAAACCATTGAGTCAGACACACGAACGATCCAAAACGGCACATAATCACCGCGGCCATAAATAAACTGAGGAATAGCTTGAAGAGATTCAGTTCCCACAGACTGTTATAGATTTCCCAGAGTTTTTCCTGCATTTTGAACACGTTAAAGTTGATTACACACACTGAGAACGAATTCTGAGCTCCTTCTCAGAGCTGCTGACAAATCTGGTGACGGTAAAGTGCCTGGCATCCTTGTGCCGGCTCGGGGCAAGCGGAAAAATTGAGAAAATTTCTAATTAAACCCGCTGAAAAGTTAATTATTTTGGAAAACAATTTTGGCGCGCGCAACAATTTCGTGCGAAAACATTTGCAATTTGTTTGCATTTGTATTTTGCATAAATTAATTACGCACAAAACGCTCTTCGGCAGCGGAAATTGCTTGCACAAATATCCTGTCTCCCGACTGCTGGATCGGGGGCAGTGCCAGTACCCCCCGCAACCTCTTTTCTGTTGCATTTTTGGGAAATTAATTAGTTTTGTATACACAAAATAGTCGAAAGGAGCACCAGGAGCGGAAATTATGTGTAGCTATCTGGCTAGCAAAAAGAAAGGCAGGCCAATGAGGAGTTCGGCTTGGGCCTGCTGAAATCGGAGACTTTTCGGCCATCTCTGATTACCATAAAGTCATCAAAAGCCTGCCACGCCCACAGGCAGTGGGTTGCCGCTCACACAGCGATTCAATTATGACATTTTTCTGATCAAATCGTTTGGCTTTGATTTGATTTCATTTTCCTGCACTTGAGCAGGGCGTTGACGTCTGCCAAATGTTACAAATATAGTCCCTGCCGTGACTTTTCCTCTCAAGCCCGTTTACCCTGTTCCCATTCCCTGCCCGCCTGCCCTGGGGCATGCGAGTTGCACGCAAATTGATGGGTAAGCATGTGGCAGAAACGGAAACACTAACATCGTTAGTTGAGGACCAGACCGGAGGGTGCCAAAATAACAGAATAACAATCATAATCATATTTGAGGCAGTAAGAGTATGCCCAGAGGCATTTGTTTTCATTTTTGACCGAATGACTGCATTTTTATGGTCGCTCAGTGTTAATTGAGGCTTCAGATTTGAGCAGAGAGGGGTTGATGTTGGTATACTCGTGTCAGTGCCAATCCAGAGCAGAGTTTGAATACATACAAGTATCTGTATATCTGTAGAAAGTCACTTAACTCTCGCCATGCAAACAAAATGGAAGCGATTCGATTGCGGCAGTCGCAAACATGCGAAAGAAATTTCCGTTTCCGTTTTGGGGCAAACTGTGTTAAAGCGACGCGAAGATTGGTGTGCCGGAGAGAAAGAGGGAGCCGAGCTTGTCTCTCTGGGGTAATGCAAACGAAATCTGTTTGAGTTCTTCGTCTCCATCTCACTTCGAGGCTGATTGATTTGTCCGTTTCGTGCTGCTGTGCTCGATAATATCCCCTTAAATCACTTAACCACATTTACACCGATTACACCGATGACAAGAATGCCCTGTCTTGTCACTGTGCTAGGCACAGCGGGGGCTCTCGGTTCGGTGTAAATTTTCACACATTATTTGAATGCCGGCCAGGACGAGACACAATTACTAGGCTCCGATAACATTCTCTAGTGGGATTTATGCCGCTTTTCTCTGGCGACACAGCTGATAATGTTAATATGCGCCGCAGGACATCAAACACGGACACAGACACAGGCGAGGGATCACGACGAGGTATTGAGGCCACTCAACTTTGTTGTCCCAATCCGCTTATGCCTTTGTCTGTCTGTTTTGCTCTCTGGTGGTTGTCTGTTTGGGTCTGGATTTGACCGAATATTTGCCATGGGGCCGGATTATCGGTTGTGTGCGATTGTTAAATGAACAGCGAGAGTGCTGCGGGAGGAGTAGGTAGCTCTTCCTTAACCACCAGAGCCTTCTCCAAAGATCGTTTTGCGGCCATGCTGCTACTGTCTGTGTCCTTTGGTCTGTCACTCTCTCTCTCTCCCCCTCTGTTTGGCTCTCTCAGCTGCCTGCGAGTGCTGATCTCAATTGCGATCCGTATCGCAGCATGCGTCCTTTCATGAGGCTTGTCGCCTTTGTGTGAGTGTTTTCACAGCCCACAGTTACAGTTGTGTTGTCCCTCATTAGCCGCTTAGGGGCGTGGACATGTTTTGCTTGCTTGTTTGCAATGTTTTCTACTTGCCGTGCCAACAGCGATTTCATGAAATCGAAAGACATTCATTCCGATCCAAGGTGTGCATTTCCCTTGCGTCTTTGTAGCTCTCTCAATGCAAACAGGAGGCTTCCTTTTGTCCCGATGCATTAAATAATGGTATCATTGGCATATAGGAGCTCGGGAGTTGGGAAACAAGAACGCCTCCAGGAACCACAGGGGTGGGAAGCGATCGCGATCGGGGGATGATTGCTATGAGCCAAGCCAGAGATTGGGATCGTTCATCAACTAATTGAGTTCGGAATCGATCTAGCTACAAAGCTGATGTAACACTTTTTCAGATCCCTTTATTCTTAGGCGAATGCGCTAATTTGTCCTAATTGGTATATTTCGTCGATGGAGAATGTTCGTCTAGAGTGCTTCTAAGCTAAAATTTTGAGCCAACGTCTAACAGTCAAAAGGAATCGCCTCCATCCCACTAATTAGCATATGAAATAATTACACTTCTTGACACACGCAGTCCAATCCAGTCCACATATAATTTTATCCGACAATTATTGATTAACATAGACACTTTACATTAACATTCGAATATAACATTTGCAATCGACACTTAACATTACATCTGACAAAAGCTCGCCACCATGAAACTGTTGCTTAGCGCCACTGTGAACGTGTAACTTATACATACATTTTACATGAATTTTACATAGGTTTGAAGCTTGGCTAAATTGTTTTCAAACCCAAAATGAGGAGGAAAAACGGAGGTGGCGCCCTAGCGGACTTGAATATCATCTTTGGAAAAAAGTCCGCTAGGTGGAAGCACCGCGGCACGAGCCCTCTTGACATCGTATAAAAAAAGTTTCTGTTTTGTATACCCTTTCTTTGACTTTTTTGATATAACAAAAGAGCGAAAAAGTCAAAAACCCCGGAAAATTGTAAGCAAGAGTAATGCGTTACACGGAACTGCACTAAGCTTAACAATTTCGGTTGCGCTGTTGTTTCCCTTTTACGCCCAGAACAAATCGAGCGAAACGCAGAAACAAAAGACAGCTGCCAGAACTTTGAGCAGCACTCCTCTCTGTGCGTCAGTGGAGTGGAGGTGGAGCGGAGGGACAGGACAGGAAGCCCGTTTCGGCCTAGACAAATTACCACTGAGTTCTCCAGTGGAGTCATCCGTCAGAGACGCATTCGGAGTCGTAGTCGGAGACGGAGAAATCGGGGCAGCACGCAAATGGAAAACAGTAAAAATCGTTTTGGGTCCCAGGCACACATAGGACAGGGCCGACAAAAAATGGCCATCATCCCATGTGTAGCCCAATGCTAATTAGGCATGTCCTGGGGGACTCTCTCGGGGCCACTGGACCTGGGCCAATTAAATAAGCTTAAGCTTGCTTTTCGGTTCGAGCTTGTCATAAATTTTGACTGATTATGCGTATCAGTCTTTGTCGTCGAAAGCTGCTACTGGTGTCCCAAGGACCCCCTTCCCGGCATCCTTTGTACGTCGTGACGACTGAAGATGTTCCTTCAACCCGTACCAGCGCCAGCCCTCCTCCTCCTCAGTGTCCAGCGCAATTCATCATTCAATTAAATCGACCGCAATCGCTCAGCTCAGTGTTCGTCGACATCTTCTTGAGTTGAGTTTTTAAAGTAGCCCCAAATCCAAATCCTTTAATGCGTCGCTGCCAGCAGTCAGTCGCTGCCATCGATTATCCTTTCAATAAAATGCCGCGGCCCGAAAAAAATTGCCAACTTTTTCCCCCTCAAATTGTACTTCACTTCGCTGCTCGTGTATTTTTTTTGGGGATAGGATGGGATATCTTCTGAAGTTGATTTATGCGCTGGCTTAAAAGCGAATTGTTGTGAGCTGCTAACTGGAAATCTGTTTGGATGCACGTACTTGTTGTTTCTCCGCCCGCCTGCCGCCTACCGCCTACCGCCACCAGTCAGCCAACGCCAACCAGCCCACTCTCCCCACAGCTCTCAGTTTGGCCGGGCCGGGCTTAAACGATTGCCAAAAATGCTTCGTTTTGTGCATGCCAAAAGAGCAGCCAAAGCCGAATCCTTTGCATTTGAGCTGGCGCTTTTGGTATGCCGTAGCAGGCATCTCAAGGATTTCGCAGCTGTCCTAGTCACAGTCACTAGCCCGGTTCTCCCTGGCTTTTGTCAAGTGATTTACGACATGCTCATGCCCAGCATTCAAAATTGAACCCCAATCGAGAGCTTCCCCCGATGATTAGCCTCAGCAAATGTTGTGAAATTCAATATGTAGTTGTATCCCACCGAAATTTATTCCTTTTGTTTGATTGTTGTTGCGGTTGTTGTTCTGTGTGAATTCCAAAAGCGGTTTTGTTTAATTAACACGCTCAAATGTTGTTTATTTGCCTTTTTTTTTATAATGGCTAACACTGGATGGAGATGTTATCACGATTTGTTTCTCTTGTTTGCTTTATAATACACTAACCAAAAAGTGGGGGGAAACAATTCGATGGCTTCAGCATTGGGTGAAATTTGAATGTCCCTTTAGAATGGAATTAAAAGTTGCATTAATTATGATATGTAGGTAGGTACATTCATAACAATACGACAGAGAGTGTTCATATTAAATGCCATAACACAATTAAATTAAGACTTCCATTAAACAGAACCGCCTTTGAGATTAATCACAATATAAACTGACGCAATTTAAAAACAACCTGCTCAAAGCTAATTAATACAAAAAGGAATCTGTTCAAACTATTTAGAATCGAATTAAACTCTACAACATACCAGTCCAGTGCAGCAGTGTTCGTGGTACTAGCCATTTCTGTTTGCATTGTTTATTCAATTTAATGTTTTTAATTCGACCAGCAAGAAGGCTACAGCTGACAAGTTGGGATAGATAGCTTCGAGAGCCGAAGGTGAAGATACCCTTGCCGGATCCGATGGCTTGGATTTTCGACCGATTGTTCGAATGGAAGGTATATCCTCTATCCTCTTCTATATGTCTGATTCCCAATTTTTTTAATCTATAAAAACGAAAGACTAGTTTGAAACAGAACCCATGAGCATGCCGGCTGCATTGACTCAATGCTATCAATGCTGATCAAAAATATAGCTGGCGTTTTGGATTTTGTTTGCTATCGAAATACCCTCCGCAAGGGTAAATTATGGAACGAATGCTTCCCTTTATTCAAATTGTATATAATTGTTTGCTTCACATCAAATTGCACATGTGGCTGGCTACAGTCAGCGCATCCGACATTTCCCCAACAAACGAATGTATGATTCCCCATCTCTACTCGTACAACTGATTTGTGTTTGTGCATTCTTTTCGTGGTTTTCATTTGGTCTTTGAGTTTTTAATTAACGCCCTGCCCTGTCTGCGATAAGGGGTACGACGGGGGAACAATAAAATGTGGGTAGAGTAAAGGGAAGGGGAAGAGAAACCTGTAGATGAAACATCCAGGAGACAAGTGCAGAGAAAGGCAGAGGAGGAGAGCGTTATGGGTGGAGGAGGTCCTTTGAACGGTGCTGTTACCATGACGAGTTATTATTTTGGCCGGCATTCCGTTGTCTGGCTAATTCAATATTTGTGCAGCATGCAAAATATTATCAAAATTCCGCAAACAGTTCAGGGTACCCACTCACCATCTCACCATCTCTCTCCACCTGCCCCACCACCTCAGTTCTATTGCCATCAAATACGGTGAAAAAAGCGGGCAAAAACAGAAACTAATAAACGACAACAGGTGAAGTTGACACGTGGCAGAGCTGCTGTGGAGGCAATTCAGGGAGCGAAGAATGTAAAAAAATCTGAGAATTGCCCCACCACCGAGGAGCGGACTTTTGTCAAGAACTGTGAGCCGAGCGTAGATGGTTGCCCAAGCAACCAGTTGTCGAATAGCGCTGTGGGTGGATTTGGTAGGTTCGGGAGGTATCAGTTATCGATAGGACCAAGGACTGGCTATCGAAAAGGGCGCCAAAACTGGAGTAATCATCCCGGTACAAGCTCTCTCTCTCTATCGATGCTTCTCCCACATACACAGCGCAGTCGAGGGCGGGGCCTATCGCACGCAGCTCTACCGGCTGTCTCGCTCTGGCGTGGAATATGGCAGAAAGCAAGATGGCAGCTGGCAATTCTCGCTGTCCCTCTCTCTCGCTCACCGATTGCTTGTGGCTTCTTTTTAGTTGATTTTTTTTGCAATGCAGGAGGATAACGCCAGAGGGCGGAGGAGGCGAAAGATAAACAGTGTCTCAATTGAATCAATCCGAGTCCGGTGATGGGGGTGGGTTCGGGTTGCCAGAGCTGTGTGGCACCAGACACCAGACACCAGTGCGCAGGAGCGTCGATGTTGCGTCGACGACGTTATCAGAGCTGGAGTCAATTCGTTTTGATTTTTTCGCGCTTGTCTCAAATGCAACCGAGTCCGCCTTGGCAGCGCTACGCGGTCGTTTCCGTTCAGCTCCGTTTCGTTACATTCCGGCACGTCAACCACTACCACAACCGAAACCCAAACTCAAGCTCAGACTCAGACCCTTACTCAAAACCCGTCGCTAAACTTAACAGAAACTTTCCCCAGATCGACAATGATTTACTGAGACCCAAATACCACGATTTATAAAAGTGTAAATGTGCGAAAAATCAAAGATGTTGACGGCAAAGATTTTGAGCGCAATCAATTAAAACAAAACCGAAAAACAAGCGCAGTAGACCGCACCCGTAGAAGACAAGGAGGACGACGCAGGGTCCGCCTCTTGGACAGTGTCCTGCTGTCCTGCTGTCCGGCTGTCAGTTGGTCAAACTGTTCATCAATAAACGATACAACTTCCGTTTCCTTGCGTGCTTTACCTGTGCATGCCTTTCTCTGTGTGTATGTGCGTGTGTTTGTGTGCGTGCCGAAGGAAACTTTCCAACTTCCGGCCAAGTGACTTCGATTTAATTTCTTTGGCTTTTTTATGGTCAAGGCATTTAATTAATTTTACTATGGCAATTTGAGCGTCTCTGCCGTCTGCTCTAGCCTGTTCTGGTCAGTCTCGAACTCTGAACTGAACTCTGACCCATAACCCTCACACATAAAAAGGCAGCAGCAGCAGAAGGCGACGGAGGAGGTCAATCTCCACGTAGGTAAGTTCTTGGCCAAAATGAGCAATAAAAGTCAATGCAAAAACAATCGAAGGTCTGCACAAGTTGCTGTGGTTAACGAAAGTGAAATGGATTTAGTTTTCAAGGGAATCGAACATTATCTGAATTGGTCGGAACTGGAGGATGATGAGGGTTAGCGCTGGTGACAAACCAATTACAATTAAATGTAGGAATATAGAAGATGTCTGTAAGGAATTAATTAAGATTGCTGAATAGCTGAAGAGATATTTGTTTGTTTGTTTTTGAATCCAGCATGAGTTGTAGGACAGGAGTGGAAAGGATTTCTAATAGTTTTAACGCTGTGGCCACCACTTTTTTGTTACTTTTTATATGAATCAGTATTTAAGATCACCTAGATCATCTTGCACAGCTGACATTTGGGTTCTTCTTACACTCATGGGTTTGCTTCTTCTAGGCATATTATCTCCTTCTACTAACAGCTCTATTTGCTTCCAGCCACACCCGTTTGGAAATACAGCAGCCAGCCATTGAAATGTAAATCGAACTGAAGATGAAGGCGACCATCAACGTACTGTGATAGACGAGTATACGAGCAGCAAATCTCAGTGGGGATTCTGCACCGAACACGATTCTCGATTCAATCAAATTGAATTCGAAATTGGACACTGAAGCGATTGGATCTTAACTATTCAAGCGGGCTACTAGCAAAAGGCGACAAACTGTCGACTTTATCCATACGCAACTTCTCGGCAAACATGCTGAACAATCTTGGGGCCAATGTGCTGGGTAAGTAATCGCTTTGTATTGTAGTTTTTCCGCTCCAATCTGTGGGCGAAGAGTGGCGAGTGGGGGTAGCGTATAATATTGTAATTAAGATCGGCAAGTGAATTACGCTAATATATAATAACGTGTGTATTAATCCATCCCATCCCAACCCATTCCATCCCTTTCCATCCGCTTGGCCATAATTAAACTAATTTCTTGAGCACACCTGCAGGCGTGTATCTTTCTATATGAGTAGTGGGGATGGGTATGGGTATCGGTGTGGGGTGGGGTGTAGTTACTTCCGATCTTCCGATTGGCATCTCCGATTTTCATCTGCTAAATGGCCTATAATTGAGACGTCTAACCAGCTGGCGCTTGGGCCGCTTGTCGCGTGCATTTAGCAATAATTAAGTTGTATATTTAACTAACTCGACAGGCCCTCTCCCTCTCCCATTCCCACTCCCACATAGCCCCAAGCCATTGCCATTCTCAGGGTGGGTGTGTGTGTTAATTGATATAATTGCTCTTTTAAATATGCCGCACCGGGCGCACGCACATAATTATCAAACTGTTCTGGCGCCAAGCACATATGCATGTACATACAAATACGTATGAATATATTAATAATTATATTGCAAAATCATATTAATAAGCAGCAAACAAACTGATTTCCCCACATTGTTGACCAATTGTTCAAGCACTTTCAATTTCGGCAATCAATTTGCTGTTAGCCCTGACTGCACCGGCACTACCACTACCTCCGACTGCAGTCCATTGTGCGGGTGAATTTCTGAATGAATGAATGAATTATGTTTGCGTTTTTATTCAATTTTTATTGCCAGCCGGAAAGCGATGCTGGCCCCGGATCCTTCGGCGCGTTGTAATTAATTACTTTTATTAATTTATTGCCGTTTTTAACGCGCCAGTTATCGCTGGGCCACACCGCGTATCCTCGTTTTTCTATAGTTGCTGGGCAAGTGTGAAAAATATGCAACGAAGTGCTTTATTCAGACCAATCGAGGGAATCGAATCGATTGTCGAACCATCTAGGCGATTCGCAAAATTCTGAATTATCGGTGAGAAAAGTCATCTTTAATGGGACTTTAAGTTGGCCCCCACTCTGCCGCCTGGAAAACTATAAATTTCAATGATTCGCATTGCGGAATCTCCTGCCCAAATCCCGCCTGCAGTGCAAGGGGTAGCCATAATAAATTTCGTAAGCCCTTTTTGGGCCCACACAACAAACAGAGGCTGCAGGATACAGAGGACTGGCAACATTTGCAGGGCAGTCGACAACATTTGCATATTGGGTGCCTGCGCACCATTGGTGGGGAATGGGGGAGTACACACAATTAAGACAATTTGCATGCAAAAGAAATGCGAGAACTTTTCCTTCTGCCTCTCTGTCGCTATCTCTGTCTCTGTGCCCCCTTCTGAATCTCCATTTCCACTCGCGCGAATGAAACTTGAATCGCATTTTATTCCATTTTCGGTTGAAGTTTTTCGTGTTTTTCGCATTAATTAAATTAATTTCGTTATTGCATCTATAATTCGCGGATACTCCTTCTTGGAAACCTCATTTGCCCAGTACCCCACGCTCAGTGGCGCTGGTTGTGTGCCGGTATTTTTGCGGTGGCCGGAGCTAGTGAAATATGTGCTCAAGCCCCCTAACCATAATCGCCCACGCCACTGTGGGGTCTGGCATCCATTCTGTATTGAAATGTTTTGCGGTTGCTGCGGATTCTGTTCCCTGTTGCGGTTTGTTGTTGGAGCAGCTAGTGCCAGAGCCGGAGCCTTCGTTGCAGTTGGAGTTGGTGCCCGGAGCCTATGTTCTGGTAGGCAGCTGCTAAAAACCGCACAATTTCCAAATTTCAATAATTATGCACATTGCACATGCAACTGATGACTAGAGGAGAGGGGGAGATGCATAGAGGTGCATAGGCTCGTCCTGGCATGGCCTGGCCTGGCCTGTCCTGGTCAAGTCCAGCCTGTCCTCGTCCTCGGTCACGTCCTCGTCCGTACATTTTGTGGCAGATATTTGCATTTCGCGCTCTCTCCCAAAACAGACAAACTGATTTGCGCAAATTGTGCAAATTGCTTGCGCGATAAATTCATGTTTGCCAATTTTAATTAATTAATCGCTTTGTGCGGTTTTCATTTCATTTCGTTTCGTTTCGCTTGGCCTCGTCTGGACCAGAGACCAACTAAAATGTCCGCTCCAGGCCAGGTGTAAATGCATCTGTATCGCACGAGAGTATCTGTGCATCCGTATACGTATCTGTATCTGTATCTGTTCTGTATCTGCAGATGAGGCTGTGAATATGTGTGGTTCAAGGTTTGTTTGATTGTCATAGCTCTACCTATAATTTAATGTCCTCTGTGTGTTGCTAACTGAATAACTATGTTACTATGATTGATTTGAATATGTGGTTCCATTAGGCAACATCGCAATTATTTTGAGTTTGTGTTTTGCCATATAAAATTATATAAAAGGTGTGATCAGGTGTAATCTATGTTGGCTAGTGAAATATTTCATCTATAGGAGCCACATTTGATTTTGGTTGAGTATTGGGTGCAAAGGCTCTCCAAAATGTTCTTTATAAACTCTACAAAATTCTTCTAAGACAACGCAGTTTGGCTTAGTCTAACAGTCTATCAGCAACTGGCAATAACTGAAGTCAGGAAAGATGTGTATAAAAATGGTATTTAATATATTATATTTTGGGGGGGAAAACCAACTGAAAGACCTCACAGCTTACAGCAGTCAGGAATGGATCTACATACATGCGTAGCTGCTCCGTCTCCGTATCCGTCCCTGTCTGCTCTGCTCTGCTCGATCTGCATACTCAATGCACAGTTAGGGCAGCACTCGTATGTGTTTTCTTTTTAATATTTATGTGTTACAACTGTAAAAGACGAGGTGAAAAAATCAAAGTTGGTCCAAAGAACTAACTAACCAACTAACTAGCTGACGGATTGACGGAGCGAGCGAGCGGCTGGACAGTCGGTAGAGTAAGGGGAGATGGCGATGGGGATAGCGATGGCGATGCCTGTCTGCCCATTGCCAGGGAAGTGCGATTTCGAGAAGTGGCGCTATTTTATGGCTCCCAAACGTGGCCCAAACGCTGTCTATGTGGATTTGAATTGAGAAAACAGAAGGAAGCGGGAACAGTTGGATGTTAAAAGTCGCACTTCTTTGGAGCATCAGCGCAACAGAACGTCGTTTACCCTCTACAACGTAGATACAGATACATGTTTGAGATGTGGCCATCGAGCGTGAATGTTCCGATGGAGAGATGGATGGATGTTGAGATGGAGATATCGCACCTAACACCGCGCCTTAAATTTACTAATCACGAGCAGAGTTTGAATTTGCTTTACCCCTGTGCTCACCTGGCTGCCCCCCTCCCCCCTCACTGCCTTTTACTGTGCGTGCTGCGTAATGCTCTGAAAATATGTATATAGCAGCCATGATGAGGGGTGGGAGCTGACAAGGCAGAAAGCCTTGTATTATAGCCGAAATCTGCACTCCATCCGTCTTCAATCCAATGTGTTGCAGTTGCGGTGACCCGGCTTAGGCACCTCTTCGATATGGAGCGCTCTTTATGCAGCTTCCGGTGGGTGGGGTGCTGGTGGGGGTTGGCGGCTGGCTGATGGGGAACGATTGGGGACGTCACCATCTGAAAATCGCTAATGAACAGTAGCCGTACTGGGTGTATGTGTAAAAATTAGCACTTCCCCAGCAGCGCCTTCTCCGGCGACAACAACAAAAGCGGCTTACAGGGAATGTCGCTTGTGACCAGAAAACCATTATAGGGGAGCTCTGGTGGCTGAACTGCGAGTCCATATCTTTTATTTGCTGCTATTTATATTTATGATTTTATGCGGCGTCTTGGGCTGCACTCGTTCACCTGTTGACTGCATTCCAGTTTGGATCTGGGATCTCGCATCTCGGATCTCGACTACACTACGATTCATTTGCCTCTGATGTTGCCGAAATTTTAACAAGTTCGCTTCGAAAACAATAAAAATCATTGAGGGCCGCCATACCCGCCACCGACAACATCAAAGTCGGCAATGGAGCGATTGGGATTGGAGTGCTGGTTGCGATGGGAGGATGGAAGCGAAGCGAAATGGAGGAGAGTCGGATCAAGGCGGACAGATTTTTTCCAGCTTAGAGGGATTTGCATTTTGGCCTCGCTTTCATCGGAAATTGCACACCGCCCACTAGCCGCCTACACCTTCACTTCGGGCACAATCAAATGACAATCATGACAACATCCCGCCTCAAGCCCAGTCCTAGGTCCCAGGTCCCTGGTCCATTTCCCCCCCCTCTCCGACAAAGGTTGTGCGCAACTCTACGGACAAGACGAGAGTTCGCGTCCACTGGTGATGAGTAAATGTTTGACTTGTAGCAACAATTGAACACGGCAACGGCAGCGGCAGAGGCAAAGGCAACAGCAACAATCAAAGTGAGGTAAAAGGGGGAAAAAAGAGTTGGGTCGAGCCGGAGTCTCTCTCACACGTACATGTTAAAAATTCCAGGCGTACGATGAAGATGATGCGGCCTCCGACTCTGGCCAACTCTGCATCCATCTCTCGGGAGGGATGCTGCTGCTGCCGCTGCCGCTGCTGCTGACTGACATGAGATACACGTAAAAATGAAATGGGAATAAAACAAAATACAAATACGTTACGTAGTCAAGTGAGACCAAAAGGTAGGAAATGAAAAGGGGCTACCAGTCACTTACTCTCTCGCTCACTCACTGTCTCGTATCTGTATCTGCGTCTGCTGCTGTATCTATATCTGTGTGTATGGCAGCTCAGTTTGTTGTTTGTCTCGCTCTCGCTCTCTCTCACTCTCTATGGCTCACCCGTTCGTTCGTGACTGTTTTTGGCATCTTTTTCCACTGCTGAATGACAGGTTGTTGAAAAATTCAATTTATCCGATCGCCGCAGTTCGGTCCGAGCAATACTCTAGGTCGTTACCGCACCGCTTCCAACCAGAGCCCCGCGTAGATACCAAACAAATTAATTAATTCCCGTAGACAGACGCTTAGACATCCCTCCCTCGAGAGACTTCCAGTGATTTAATTTAAAGATTCAACAATTCAGTCATTCAAAATTAATTTTCATCATCGAGTGTCGTGTGTTGTGTGTTTTTGTGCGGGTGTGCGGGCTTACAATATAATATTTTACACCATCGATACGGCTAACATCTGTGGATCGATTTGGGATTATCAGTGGACCATTGTAAGCTATTGAGCCATCAAATACTAACGTTGAGCTATCGGCAAGCCCCTGATTTTTAAGCAATATTATATCGGACTGTTGGTTTGCTTGCTCATCACAATTTGGATCGGCCTTGCAGCTGCTTTGCACCTTGCTATTTTGAGGGCGCACAGAATCTCCCCGCCAAAGTAAACTGCAGATCACCAGAACGGCACCGATGGCAGCATGAACCATTGCCCCTAAAAAGAGTTTCCACATTATCCAGTGCGCTGCCGCGCTCACCAAATTCATGGTCCAAATTAAACAATTGACCACGAAGCCCAGCATTATTTGAAGCATATAATAGCAAATGTAAATCATTTTTGTGCACCGAAAAATTCCGAAAGTATTTTTTGAGAATATCAACTGGAGATAAGACAGATAGCTGGTGACTGTGACAGATACATATCTAATAAGGGTAGTAGACAAGATTGTACAGAAATACTATTCTAATTTGTAACTATTTACTATTTTGACTTATATCTCAACTATATATGGAGATTCTACCTAGTAATCTTCATAAACGTGTTTGAACGAAAGTAAGGGGCAGATGGGCGGACAGACATAAATACGAGTATATAGAATGATGGGCGATAGAGGACAGATGGTTTTGCCTTAGCAAATTCTGGCCAGGGCACCCCACATTTTGTCCCACTGGAGAGAAAATACATATTTAGATGTTTTGAGTTCCATATCAGCATCCGAAGCTTTCTTTATTTGTAGCATACGAAATTTATATTAAGCCACATAAAAAGGTGATCATTAATATTGTGTACCTACATGTACCATCTGTCATCTCGCTGCAGGTCCCAAGGATTGTGATCTGCCCAAGGCCGCACTGACGGCGCTGCACGCGGGCGTTAACAGCTTTGGACAGCTGCCCGGTGCTCCGAATCTGGCCGATCTCGGCGGTGCAGGTGGAGGCGGCGTTGGACTCCCTGTCGGAGGTGGCGTGGCGCGCCTACACATTTCCGGCGGACTGTGCGACAACGCGAACAACAATAGCAGCGGCGGCGGTGGCGGTGGCGGTGGTGGCAGCGGAAACACCAACATGCAGCAACAGGATCAGGTGAGAGAGCTAGCTTCAGCAAGAGAGAGACAGGGAGCGAGAGAGTGAGGAAAAGCGAGAGCGAAAGTGCTAGATATATACAATAGTTTATACCAAACTTTTTTAATAATCCATGTTCTTTTCGATGTTTATTTTCCCTTCAAATACTACTCTGCTATGCCAAAAAAACAAAAATACAAACAAAAAATACAATTCAATTCGAAATTCGATACAAAACGCAAATCTGTTTCCAAAAACGTGAATGTGTGTGTTCTGAATTGTGTAATGAACCTATTAAATGTGCCCTGCCATGATTCATATTCGTAATATTAATCACATAAAAACCAAAAGTAAGTGTACCTTGATTTCCATACTTTGAACCGTAGAACTCCAATCCTATCCACTCCACCTACTCTTAACTGTTCTGTACTGTTCTGTACTACTGTAGCTGTAGTTAATGTACTGTACTTGTAGATTGCATTCCCTGTTAGTTCGTGTGTAGTTAAGATACATAGATATATCCTTTACACCGCCACAATCATCTCATTCACGTATGTTTCTCTTTTCTCTTTTGGCTTCTCGCGGCACAGCTCCTGGACAAAAACAAACAGAAGAGACACCGCACGCGCTTCACCCCGGCCCAACTAAATGAGCTGGAGCGGTGCTTCTCGAAGACCCACTACCCGGACATCTTTATGCGCGAGGAGATCGCCATGCGCATCGGCCTCACCGAGTCCCGCGTCCAGGTGAGTGCCCTACACCTACCCTTACCCCTGCTCCTGCCCAAGTAAAGTTTACGTGGTTTTGTCCTGCGGTTCGACGACTGTCAGGTGATTCTCTCTCCGAAATCGGTTTAGTACGTTTTTGGGGCTGACATGACGTTTCACTTGTGTTGCACAAAACCGCAGCAGCCAAGTGAGCACGGATTAGGGGACTGTGGCTCGCATTCCATTCGTGTGGATATTTTCCCGTTTTGCTTGCAACAGTTTACGACGCACTAGGCTGCTGGGAGGCGCCGCCAAACACCATTTAAGCGCCCAAAATTATACTTTATTAAAGCTCATAAAGTCACATTTAGTCCGGCATTCAGGATCTCACCTCCACCCAGGCACCCTCCTCTTTCGCTCTGGCATCTCTCTTGCAAAAGTTTTTATGCGAAGTTCAGACACACATACATACACACACACACACACACACATGCACAACGGGCATTATCCTTTTGTGGCTGGCATGGCTCCCCTGTGCTGCTGCTGCTGGTGATGCCATTATCCTTGTCTCTGTGCCTGCTTCTCCTCCTCTTCTTTAGGCGGGGCTTCTTTGCATGCGGGCGGGACTTTGTTTATGGGACAATCGAATTTACTGCTTCATTAAATTTGTATTTAAGCTTCCGTATCCGGTTGTGCTTACTTCTCTCGCCAGCCAGCCAGCCAGCCAGCCAGCCAGCCACAGCAGCAATCCGAGAATTGTTTTGCGGTTGAAATAAATGCCAAAAACTTTGTCTTATTGGCCATAGAAGGATTTTCAGTCACTGTTGCTCTGGCTAAAACAATTAGCCATGAGCGGAGAAACTGTTGCCTGCTTTGCGGGGGCGGGCGACACCTTCATGATGATCCTGTCCCACCACCTACGCCTGTACGAACCCGCCGGATGTGTTCTACTTTGATAAATTGTTTTAATAATTGCGTATCAGTGTTGCCCGTTAATGCTTTTCCCCCTCGCCCTCGCGCTCGCCCATGCTCATTCCCCATCCGGCTGTCCAAGGGACAATGCAGGTGACTGACACCGGGAGAGGGTGGATGATGCAGGCGGCGGGGTGGCTAAAAGCTGAAGGCAGTTGCCGTCGGCCTTTGGCTGCTGTTCTTCTTTCCACCGCTGGCCCGCTATCCCGCTGCTCTAATGTTTGATTTTGTGTTGTCGTTGCGGCTTAGAGGATGTCAGGCCGTTGGATTAGTTTCGGGATTGTTGTTTAATAAAATTAGCATATAAATTAAGTTGGCCCGCTGTTAGTAGCAGTGGATGTGGCATTGCCGGTGGCAGTGGCAGTGCCAGTGGCCGTGGCAGACAGAAATAACACATTTAGTGGCTCCTTGGAGCATTGGAGGTATTTTCACACTTGCAAGAGGTCCGACCCTCATTCGATATGCACACACACGTCTGGCCCTAAATCAATCTACGAGGATTTGCAGCTAATGACGGCATAAAGACAGCCTCCAGCCCCTCCGTTCCCGTTCCCGTTCCCTGCTGACTCCACCCAGCTAAATGCCAGACCTCTCTGCCTGCCCTTATAACCACAAAAATCAAGTCAAAGCTCCACATGTGACGGTGAAGGGGTGGCAGGTGCATAAGTTATGAGGCTCACGTATCGGCCGACTGCCGACTGGCTAACAGAGAGAGGAGTTTCTTCACACACACAAACAGGCACACAGCAGCATTTATGGTAAATATAATTTAATAAATACATAAAAGCCAGAGCGAAGTGTATCTCTTCCTTCCTAATCGGATCGGGCGTGGGCTGGGCGTAGGCTGGGGGGGTGGAGGGAATTAACACAGTCGTAAGCTCAGGCCTGAGCGCAGCAGGAGGTGGCTCCCCGGCAATTGTTAATTTGTGTTTTCACAGCAGCAATTGAACAATTTACGTGGCCGGGACGTGGCCTCGGGTCAGGGTCCGGGACAATCTGTTCGTCACACGTGACATCTCCACGGGAGGGGCGAGCGGACTGGGCCGGACTGAATTTGGATGGAAGATGACCCGCAAAATTGACTTATCATGATTCGCCACTGTCAAAGGCATTGTCAGCGAGATTGTCAGAGGCATTGTAATGGCTTTGTCTGCAATGTTAACATTTATTGGTTTGTTTATTAATTTGTTGCAACGCGGCAGGGTCACAGCAGGCTGAGGGGGTGGGGCGAGCGGCGTCCCAGCACGTGCCAGTGTGTGTGTCTGGGCACTAAATGAATTTCTCACATGATTAATTTGCCAAGCAACCGCGCAGGACCCTGCAGGTGAAAGTGGCAAGAGATGCTATTGAAAAGTGAAGTTTCATAGCCAATCAGCCGCTTGGCAACGCATTTAATCACAGTCTTAGAGCTGGAAATCGGCCGTTCCTCTCTTCTGAGAATCTCTTTGGATGTTATCCTTTTTAACATGATTCGAACTGAAAGGCGTTTTTGAATTAAATTCCATTGACTATCCTAAAATATTATACATATATGTATGTACAATGTACCAAACATATATACAGCAAAACTCTGCTGAATTCTGGTGATTCAGCAGGAGTAAGCAAATATCGATTGGCTTAAGCCACAGGGCCAGTCCAGGACTCGCATTCAGACAACACGAGTCGCGTCTTGGGCCAATCCAGTGCCGTCCGAGCTCCTTCACGAGTTTCCTTCCCACTGCGAGCATTGATAAATTATTGCCTCGACTCCAGACAGAACTAATTTATTTGCTGAGCCGCTTAATGCCCCTCTAATAATAGCCCACTGACTTTTGGAGGATGGGTGCCCTACCACTACTATGGGGCTGGATGGGGACGGAGCAAGTATGAGCTGAATTTCTATGACGCGACGACCGTCCAATATCTGAATATTTTGCAAAAATTAGACTAGATATTCTCATAAAAAGCGAACATCTTTATTAAAATTTCAGGCAAGGAGCTGGGGAGTCAAAGGGCAAAGGGCAAAGGGCGGGCTCTGCTGGAACGAGGAAGTCCTCAAAGCGGGTCCTGAGGCGACTGGGTCGTCTCTGGTATAACCATGGCATCGCAAAATTTAATTAAACTTTAATTGAAATACCAAAAACGAAAATATGCAACAAACAGAAAAATGTGGCAACAGCGGCAGCAGCAAAAGGAAATGGAGAAGTGGGCCTGGCGACGGGCAAAATTTAGTGGAGAGCTTTAAAATGAGACCCCAGAACCCCAGAGACACAAGAGACTAGGGGGCCAGGGGGCCAGGGCGTGGGTCCCTCTATAAAATGCACATAAAGAGCATCAAGGAAATCTGGCACGCATTCTGTTTATGGCATATGAAGCAATTCCAAAAGCAATTTCGTTGATACTTTTCATTGAAATGTTTGTGTGAAAATGGCGTGCCAAAGTGCCGCATCCCATGGACAGGGGCACAGACGGCGCTGGCATGGAGCTGGGGGTTGGCGATTCTATCCGGGATAAGCTGCTCCAACTGAGGCTGCCATTGATAGAATGACAAGAGCCCCAGCCCTCCCCCATACGGACCTATTCACGAAAAAAGGTTGAAAAACTTTACCGAGAAGGCCAAGAGAAGAAAAACCAGAGCAAGCCTGAGGCAGATGGAGGAGGAGTGGAGCGGGGTGGATGGGGCGGAGTGGAGTGGAGCTGCGCATGCTCCACGAATGCACCAAAAACAATTTCGGGGGTTGCATCGCCTGTTCCGTCACACCACGCACCGACAGACCCTCTCGAACGTGGAGGCTGCAGTGGCTCCCGGCAACCCCCCAAATCGAAATGAAAGAAATGAAATCTAGCAAATATTCAAAACTATTTCATAAATCAAAAGTTGTACTCGTCAGGAATTGGCTGTTGTTCCCTTCCCCCGCAACCAAACAACCCCTCAGAGAACCACTTTGATGATTTCTATCAAAGGGCAGTGCGACACATTTCTCCAAGTGAAGCGAATGGAGAGAGAGCGAGAGAGCTACGGCTACAGGGAGAGTGTGGAGCGAGAGAGAGAGAGAGAGACGGGCATAGTAGACTTTGAGCCAGTCTCAGCGGACTGGCCCCTGCTCCGTGGGGGGGTTTGGCACTGGGAATGGAAATGGGGAGGGGTTTTGGGGGGTTTGGGTCTCGCAGCAAGTGTTGCCGGGGCCGACTCGTAAAGCAGGATTTAAAGGATAACATAAAATAAATCGACTCGCATTTGTGTGTGCGTGTTTGGGTGTGTGTGTGTGTGTGTGTGTATATGGGAGGGAGTCTGAGAGAGGGAAAGCTGAGCGGGGACAACATTTTATGAATTTATACGCATTTTTTATATGCTCAAGAATGAAAAGATATTGGCCGAAAAGCGATTTCCATAAACCACTCAGAGCGGCAGTCAGAGACGAGGCTGGATCAGAGGTCGGAGTCCTAGCCAAAGGATATGAAAGTACCAATAATCATAATAAAACGATGCTTGAGCTGAAGATGAAGACAGCCTGAAGGAAGGATGGAAGGACAACATCAAAGGCCAACAATAACCAGGGAACAGCTTGGCGGGGACGGGGAACCCTCTTGAGTGTCCAACTCATCTCTCAGTGGTTGCCTGGCAGCCACAAGGGGGCCAAGGAAAGCAATAACCTGACCAATTGATTTTTGATTATGTCCCAGCAGCAACAATATGCCAGAGATACTCGTACTTTTACTTGTGTCGAAACAATAACCAATCTACAATCAGGCCAGATTCAGCAGCACAGATTCAGCAAAAATTGTCAATAAAAACGAGCCGAAAATTACGAGTATTATTGCACTTTCTGGCTTTTACCAATCAATCGTTTATTAAGAGGGGATTGGAATTGAGCTGCACTAGCCCCTCCCTCCGACCGTCCCCTCTCTTGGCCACGATGAATAACATTTGCACTGCAGACTAATCGAATTTTGATTGCAATTTTCTGCACTATCGCGGCAGTGAACGAGCACTGGTATGGCCTCTTATGACCCTCGTATATCCGGCTCTGTGACTCTGATTGATAATTTCGAAATTGGCTGTTGAGCTGTGGAGTGCAGCTTTTTGGGGACAAAGTGCATTTCTATGTTGGCATCGGCACTCGTTTTGTGTTGCCTGTCATATGCAAATCACGGGCTGCAGTCCATTCGAAGCAACCGGGATTCTTTTGAGGCTGCTTCTGGCTAATATTGGCCTCGTTATCCTTACAGCTGTTTAATCAGCCATTAAGCATAATGTGCAATTAATGTTGCATAACGAACCGAGCAGATATCATAAACAAGGCTCAAGCGACGAGGATGGGCTAGTGCCAGTTCTCTATGACAGACAGAGACCATTATGACGTGGGACTGGGACTGTCATGGGACCATCGTTGGCAGGGGCTGGATGACAGGCAGGGCGACACAATAAACAGGTTCATAATAAAAAGCCTTTGGGTCTTTCACACCCACCCTTCGCACCTTACGATGCACCCTCGCGGCACTGCGAGCACCAGCACCATCCACCAGCCCATAAAATCAAAGCAAATCACTTGTTATCCCATTTCCAGCCCTCACCCTAGGTACATATAGCCATGTAATTTAGCCGATACTTAATTCCTGACTTCTGCCTTCATTTGGACTGTCGTCTAACCTCCGGGGTGCGGGTCTGGGTTCCGGATCTGGGTGCTAATATCTGCGGCCTGCCGCAAGAAATTGCTTTTTCATGAACTTGACTCATTTATTATTTGCAACAGTTGCCCCACCCCCCTCTCTCTCTCTGTCACCTCTCTCTCTCTCTCTGCCTTGTTTGGCTTTTTGCTGGTGGTGTCTTTTCTTATTTGTTGGGTTTTTGTTGGTTCTGTTGCTGCTGCAGTGTCAGACGTGAAGTGAAAATTAAAAGTCCAAACATGAAAATGCTTTTGTAGGAAACATATGGCTGAAATTTTGTGCCGGCTTCTGTTTTTTGTGTGTCTGGCAGCGCAGTCTACAGTTGAAGGATTGCTGGTAGCGACAGAAACAGAGCCTGGAGAGAGTGACAGAGTGACAGAGGGGTGAAACTTTGTTCAAGCACTAAAAAAATAGAAAAACTTGAGCTTTGTAAACAGACATTCATTGGTGGCCTCTTGGCAGATCAGGCAGAAGTATTCATTAATTCATTCGGTGCTTGAAATGTTTATTGGCAAAGAAATTAAGTTTCAGTTGTATTTGGTACTTATTTAATTGAACAATGAAGAGTAGTTGAGGCATAGGTTTCAGCCATTTTTCTTGGTTTGTGTCTCGGTGTGTGTTCTCTTGTGGTGTGTGATCACTGGGAACGGAAACATTTCTTTCTGGTTGTCAAATTCATTTTTAGAAATCAAGAACGGAAACATTTCTTTCTGGTTGTCAAATTCATTTTTAGAAATCAAGAACCTGGACACAAACTCTGAAATTACAGGCCTGATGCAAGCCTCTCCACTCTTCCATCATACCGCTACGCTCTGGTCGTATCCTGGAACCACAAATCTGTGAAGCAATGCGCTCCTGGGGCGGGAGTCTGGCGGCCACTCAGCGGCTGATAAATTATGCATAAGGGTGAAGCTTAAAAAATTACCGTTAGACACACAATTTAACGCGACATAAGGAGCATTTTTTCGGGTTTCTATTTTTGTTGTTTACCGATTTTTGGATTCACGCTTCAAATTGGGCGCAACCAAAACAAAACAAAAAGGAAGAAAGGAAAAGGTGGGGCAGGGGAAAAAGGAAGCCGCGAAAAACAAATCAAATGCAAACGAAGACACACACAAACGCATATAATTTTGTTTGGCTCTGTCACCGGCACACACCCTCCCATAAAAGTAGACACACGCACACACACACACATACAAACAGTCGCATAGATGGTGTGGCAGGAGGGATATTGGGCATAAAAAATAAATGTTTTGTTTAACCGACATTTTAACGCCTATTTACGTGCCGGGCACGTCATGCACGTTATGCCAATTTAATGGCTCTCTCAGCCCTCAGCCCTCCGCCCTCAGCCTTACACCAGGCCAACGGAAGGCAATGACTTTTGATTTTTGCTGTTTTCTCTTCTTGGTCTGTTTCCCCTGTTTCCTCTTCTTACCACTCTGTCTCCTTTCTGTTCGCGTTCTGCCCATCCTGCGTAGGTGTGTTTCGTGTGCGCCACGAAAGTGGCAAGCAAAATAAAAGCAGCAAGCATATTTAATTTGCCCAACTCAATGTGGCAGAAAGAGGCAGTAAGTGGCAGAGAAAGAGAGAACTAGCTGCAGAAAGAGAGAAACATAGAAAGAGAGAGAAGAGGAGGAGGACGAGGACGAGGAGGAGGAGGAGGGCAGACAGTCAGACATTGTCTTAAATTATTAAATTAAAAGTTAATGAATAGAGAGCGAGGCATACACACGTAAAAAACATAAACAAGTCAAGGTCGCCGACACACCCTTACCACAGCGACTTCACTTCCCTCCTTTCACTCTTCCCTGGGTACCCCTGCCATGCCCCTGCCCCTGCCCCTGGCCCTGGCCCAGCCCCTGCCCAGTCCCTTTATCCCTTCCACAATGTGGCACATTAGCGTCCCTGGTGCACCATCTAGCCAACCTGTGATAGTTCATTGCTGTTTAGCTTAGTCCAGTTCTGTTCGGTTGAGTGGGGAAGAATGGAGAGGAGTGGAGTGGAAGTGGAGTTTTCTTCAGTGCTATTCGGTGGTGTCTGCCATTGTCCGACATATGACAAACCCCCCAGGGACCATCTGAAGTCAGAAGCATCAGAAGGCCTTACAAGCAAAGTTACTTTGCACAAAACTTGCCATTTTTCTTTCTCACTCAGCCTCACGCACGCACACTCTCACTATCTCCCTTTCTCCTGTACATTGACTGTCCCTGTCTTTCCTGTTTCTGGCTCTCTGTTTGGTCCTGGTATTCCTTTGCCATTAGTCTGGCGCACTCAGACAGAAACAGTCGACAGTCGGTGACAGCTCAAGATTTGCCACGAATGCTGGGATTTATAAATATCTACTATATAACTGTTTATATACATATAAGTATGTATGGGTTAGTGGTTTGTGTGTGTGTATATATATAACGGTTAAGTTGTCAACCCGACTTTCGAGTGATGTGGATGCGAACGAACTGGCCTGGCCTGGCCTGATGCCTGGATGGCAGCAAAATCGTTTTCATGTCACTAGTCATTCACTCGCCTGGCACTTTATTCCTCATTTTCCACCTGCTGAAAGATTGTAGATATCAGCAGCAAAAAAAAAGCCACCATAGAAAAGCAGAAAGTTAAAAGTTGAGATATTCCATTCGGTAGATGGCCCCTAGATATGTATTGGGCCCCCGATCCGGTGCTTGTGTGTGGAGTGCAGTGCTTGTTTTTCGCCTTGTAAATGTCAAAACCTCAACATGTCTGCGGGGCCCGGCTCCGTTGTTCTTATGCATATGGAAATGCCAATTTGAAGCGAACACAGAACACATCCGACACGGTCTACGGCTACGGCTACGCCTCGACCTCTCCGGCCATAAGACAAAAGCGTATCGAAGGGGCAGTCCAGTCCCGGCATTGTCCTGACGATGACCAAAGATGTGGAACATGTTGGAGAGGGTCTGGGGCTGTGGTTGGGGATGAGATAGGGATTGGGTATTGGCGTTGAGGTTGGGCGGATAGCTCGCCAAATAACTGATTGCCTTGTTCTCTGCCTATGGCTGAAGAATTTACATATGGAATTTATGCGCATGTAAATCTGCTTGTACAATGTGTGTGGGTGTGTGTGTGTGTGTGTGTCGAGACGTGTTTCGACTGTCACGACGGTAATTGATCTCGATTAAGACCATGTAGGAGGCAGACTTTGTGGTGGGGTGTGCGTCGTGGGGTGGCAGTTGCTTAACAAGGAGCCGAAACACACAAAGTTACAAGAGGCCCTGCCACACACAACGGAACTATCCCTTAAGTATCTGCTAGCAGATATGCTGAGAGTCAAGTATAGTATCTTGAAATAGGGAAAACTATAAACAACTTGGATAAATTGAATTAAATCACCAATCTACTACTTAATCTCATATAGTTTATGCCCGCTCAATAGCTAATTCTTTCTTGCATTGTATATTTGCAGGTCTGGTTCCAGAACCGACGCGCCAAGTGGAAGAAGCGCAAGAAGACCACCAATGTCTTCCGCACCCCGGGCGCCCTGCTGCCCTCGCACGGACTCCCGCCCTTCGGGGCCAATATCACGAACATCGCCATGGGTGACGGCCTCTGTGGCACCGGAATGTTTGGCGGCGACCGCTGGAGTGTGGGCGTTAATCCCATGACGGCAGGTGAGTGGATCCCGGCCCAGGCCCCTCGCCACTGCTACTAACTATCGTATCTTGTGGATCCCCCTACTAATCGCTGCAATTGGGAAAAGGCTTTGGCCAGCTGAATCAGTCGTCGCCGCTCTCTTCCTCGCTGAACAGCGGCCTCAACTCGGGCATTAACATGGGCTCCGCCCTGGGGGCGGGCAGCTATCAGCACTACGGCCTCAATGCTTTGGGTAGGTGTTCCCAAGCCACCTGCGCCCCTCCCCATTCCTTTTCACCATTTCAGAATGATCTTGAATAAGTATCACATGACCCGAAAATTTTCCATCTGATTTTCGGTGAACAAAAGACAAGCGTTGACACTTTTTCGGTTTTTTTCATTGGTAATATTATTTCTCTGTTTTGCTTTGTCGTTCGTTTCCTTCTCTCGATTTATTTGCTTTGCTTTTCGATACAATCCACTTCCATTTCCAGTTTCAGTTCCAGTTCTCCCGACAATTGACCAGACACGACACCATTTCTTTGAACTCATAACACTTTTTTTTCGGTAGCCCCAAATATTGTGTGGCATCGCATAAGGTTTATAATGCCCTGGTCCGCTGGACTGCTGGACCGCTGGCCCGGCTGCTTATTTGTTCGATCAATTAGCGGACAGTCGCCTAATTTTCAGGAATACCCAAAGGCATTTTGTTCCTCCTCTGTTTCGTTTATTTGGTTTCGTATAGTTGTGCTAATTGAAATTTTGGAGACATGTTTTTTGGCTGTCAGCAGCAAAGTTTTCATTGTTACACTTTTTTGTTGGAATTTAAAATTTGGAACTTGGAATCGGGTGCTGCTGGGCTGCTTGCACCAATCACAGATACAAAGGCAGCCATTAATCGAGGTGTTCTCCCTCTCGCTCCAGGTGACTCCATGATGTACCAGCACAGTGTGGGCGGGGTAGCCTGCGGGCCGAGCGGCTCCCCGAGCGCCACAACGCCGCCGAACATGAACAGTTGCTCCTCGGTGACCCCACCGCCAATCTCCACGCAGCCAAACGCCAGTCAGAACGAGCTGAGTGGCGAGCCCATGGTGAGTTTCCTTGCAGGACCTAGCCGGGACACCCACCACTGTTATACTCCATTTTCATTTGCAGCCGCTTCACCAGCAGCAACAGCAGCAGACTCACCAACAGCAGCAGCAGCAGCAGACTCACCAACAGCAGCAACAGCAGCAGACTCACCAACAACAACAGCAGCAGCAACAGCAGCAGACTCACCAGCAGCAGCAGGTAACTACAACAACCCTAGAGAGAGAGCTTTCCTCAAGCCCACAACTGAAGTTACGGAAACTTTCACCACTTTTCCCACAGATGGCTCCGCCGACGCCATCGCAGCAGCAGCAACAGCAAGAAGGACTCCATTGCCACCAGTCGATGCAATCGCCCACCGATGGGGCCACCGACGAGGACGTGTGGCGAGGACACAGCATTGCAGCGCTGCGGCGGCGAGCCTCGGAACTAAATGCCACGGCCATCCCATCCTACTTGCACCATGCCGCAGCCGCCCACAACAACTACGAGCACCACAATTCGGTGTACTGAAATTTGTTGAAAAGCTTCGAAAGCTTTTCGGATTACGGTTTTACCAATTGCGGCAACCACGACTTCTAGAACGGGCTCGAACCCCAAACAATTTGACAGCCACTGGCAATGGATGCGATGGAAGCGTTATAAGATAACCAAAACCCTACGTTTAGAGTATTGTACAATTTATGTGCGTTTCGTTGTTTGTTTCCGATTTCTTGGATGACCGGAAAGGGAAATCCCCATGCCCATACCCATACCCTTATCCATACCCATACACTCCCCCCGGAAAAGAGAGTGTATCTTAGACTTAAAAGACTATAATGAATGTAAACCATGTATACGAGAAACAAAACTTGAGAAGAGGCGGCAACCTAAGAGGAACCTAAGAGAGTTGTTGAAACCCCCACGATATACGAGTATGTAGGTGGAAAGAAAAATCATCTACATGCATACACATAAATAAATGAATGTATTCGAAAATAGAGCCATAAGCACACGCACACGCACATCCAGACGGAAACTATACCTAATCGTATTCCAGCATATACAATATATCTAGACACTAAATATAACTAAATATTTACTGTACGAGTATACGAAAATTGTAAAAATTAAATTGCGGAATGGAGAGCGAAGGGAGAGAGAGAGAGAAGAGCGAACAGTCGTCCCATCTTCGATGCGTCACGTCACAATAATTTTTCGGCAAAGGGAACTTCTCTCCAAGTTCTCCGCTTAGTTCGTACTTATATGTTTAAGCATACTTAGCATACTAGTAGGAGTGAGTGTATGTATGTAAGTAAGTAGTAGATACATACGTTTGTAAGTGTTGTTGTTTTTGTGTATAGGCAGTGTTCCGTTCTGTTCTGTTCAGTTGCTATCACTTGATCTAACCATACGATACCAACATATGCAATATAAAATGAAATAAAAACCAAACAAACTATAGGAAAATACATACGTCTGTTTGTGGCAAACAGACGCCACGCGACGCGTCGCGACTCGATTCTGAATCTGAATGTACGAGTATTTCAGAGTGCATAAACATTCAACGGATTACGTTTACGATTACCAATTACAAATTACAAATACGACTATACGACTACAATTATATATACGTGCATACGATTATGGCATACTTGTAATAGACTTTCTTGTATCGAATAAGCCTAACTTTAAATCCAACTAAAAACAAAAACAGAACAACATTTAATATGTATGTAATTATGCGTATTATTAAATAGTAAACTAAATTAAATATTGAACGTGATTTGCATAACAGAGGGACATACATTTCATGCCCCACCATCATGCTCACTCACTCACATACATGCAAGCCACATTAAACGGGCGTTTCGAATACTCAACAGTTTCGGGTAGAACAGGCAAGGCCTACTGTTCTGCTAATGGTGCATCGACTGCCATTATTTCACCTTATCTGAATCTGACCCAAAGATGCATAAGAGCGTTCCCTTTGTCCATCCTGCTGCAATTACAATAATTGAATGGGATCGGGTGGCAAGCTGCAGTGCTCGACTGCCAAACAAGTTTAAGCTGAAAATTGGCAAAATTGATAAAACTCTGACAGTCCACACACTCACATACATTGGTTTGACTGTGTGTGCCAACAGGGCAGAATGGCATTTGTCCATTGGCAATGACACGGGGCCAGTCCGTTCGATTGGGGTCAGAGAGCTGAGCAGAGCAGAGCAGTGCAGGCCAGACCAGACCAGAATTCGACCCGACTGCATACATGGGCTTATAAATTTTATAATGCTCGCATGACATTTGACATGCATATTGTCACGACAATTGGCCCTCGGAGCCCGCTGCCTGCAGCCTGCTGGTTGGTGACTGGTCAGAAACTGGACTGGATTGGGCAGAGGCGTAGCTGCAGCATGTAGCCTGCAGCCATGGACCCAACTTAATCACACTGATGGCTGTTTTATGCGATATGCTCAGACATAAACAATTTAATAATACAAGTACAAACGAGCGGCCATTTTATATTCTGATGTGGAAGGTGGAGAGGAAGTCGGGGGCCCGGAGGATGACATGCTCGAACTCCAGAATTGATAGCTTGCCATCGCCATCGACGTCGGCCTCCTCGATTACCTTGTCGGCAATCTGCTGGTGCTCCTCCGGACTGAGCTCGTTCTTGGTCATTGTTGTCAGGCAGGACATGAGGTCGGCGTGCCCAATGAAGCCATCCTGATCAAAATCTGCAAAGTTATGCCAGACATTCATATATATAAGTAAGTGCACACACACTCTCGGGTGGGTGGGTTCAGTGGGAATTGGGTGGGTGGATGATGTCTTACAAAACTTGACATATTCTTGCACAAAAGTCAAGTGATGTGTGCCAAACGAAGTTTGCTGTGCAATCTCCTACGTAGACGTCTATTCGTATAGGTAATCGCTTGCTGCACGTTTCAATTTGTGTCAATCTAATAATGCACATTGAAATAAAGTGCTGGAGAGCAGTACATTCTCTCTCTCTCTACCTATGGCATGGACAACCTTCGGTTCTGAAAGTAGTTTACCCAAAAAAATGTTACATGCACTCCACCTGAAGACACTTCGAGCGTATTGATCGTCCATGTGCCACTTGTATTCTCTGTGGATTTTTGGCCATTAATTTGGAGTGCCAAGTGCACAATCAATTTGCACAAAGTTTTGCCCCTACTTTTATGGTGGCATTTTTAGGATTCTAATTTAAATTTCAATTAAAATGCTTATTAGAATTTATGGCTGTCCTTGAACCTTGGCCCTGCAGCAAGGACTGTCGGCACAAACCGAACTCTTCTTGCCTGGCACGGCGCCACAAATTACAGAGCTGCGAGTGCGGGCCATGCGTTCCATGTAAATGCCAGGCACACAAAGGACACACTCCTCTCGAAAGATACCAACAGACTACACAACACCAACACCAACAACGATAACGAACACTGTCTGCGGAAATGCATAAACAAAAGCGGAAAATGCTGGCCAACACCAGAAGTGCCTCTCCTTTCCACAGCCACGGAGCCGGAGCTGGGATGAAGTTGCAGCTGAAACTGGAGCTGCACCACAACCAACTTGGCCGAAAAGAGGAGGCCAACACTTACCATAAATTTTGAAAGCGTAGAAAACTTTAATGTCCCTCGGCGCCTGCTCGCTGAAGACAGAGAGAGCGTCCAGAAAGTCCTCAAACGACAGATTGCCCTGGCCATCGCGTGAGAAGGCCTCGCCTGGAAAATGGATGATTGGTTTAGTCCGGTAAAGGATGGGAGTGGAGCGTGCTGTGCTGTGCTCCGTTTATGCATGCATTGGTCTTTTGTTACTCACAGATGCGACGGCGAAAGGGATTCTCACGCAACTCGGGCATCTTCTCAATGCACTCGCAGGGAACCTTGACACTCGAGGCCTGACCCTCAGTCATTTGGCGGGGCACCAAGTCCGGACGTAGCTCCCGAAACCGTTTGTGGACGCTGTAACAGACCAAGTGTGAGTGGAAGGTACATATTTCGGGATGGATGCGATGGCAGGCTTTGTGTCCACGAGTCTGTTGTCTGTGCGTGTGTATCTTTCCTTTTTGTTTTTTTTTTTTTTCTGTGTTGTTTTTGAACAATGGAAGGCTGCCAACAATGGCAGGCGGTGCCAGGTGGGTGGTGCTTTGTGTGGGTCATGTGAAATGAAATAGTTCTAGCTTATTATAAGGATACAAATGGCCTACCGCAGGATCTCCTTGCGCGTGAAGAACGTGCAATCCTTTGCAAGCGAATGGGCGGAGAATGGCAATGAATTGAAGTTAGAATTAAGGTCGTTCCCTAACAAATAGTACAACTGATGGATTGCCCACCTGGTAGTCATCCAACTGCTGCTCGGTGAATGTCACAACTTTGTTGCCCATCGCTCTTGTCCACGCCGATGCCGTTTCGCCGGCCAAACTGGTTAGTCCCGAGCGCAGAAACCGACTGACACTGGCCAAAGGCGGGGGCCCAGAGCCAACTTCCTACCAGCCATAACTTTGCATAGCTCCAGTGGCCCCGCTCTGGACACATCCTGCGGCGCCTTTTCCGCTTATGGCACCCGCATTCGCATGGAAATTAATTAAGGAGTGTTCACGGCATGCCATTCCATGTTCATACCCTGTGCTCGAAGCTCTAAAAGGTTATACTGCATCGCTCAAATCTATGTAACAGGCAGACCAAACACTTATGTTCACTTTTCTAATAAGCCAAGCCAACAAAAGGTCTATTTCCGTGTACAATTACGAAGTACATAATGCCATTCTGTGCTCGCATTGTGCGAAAGCCAATAAGACAGATTCCGCCATTTCCAATTTAAATCCAACCACGATGCGGCTTAGTAGCGGGTATCTAATAGGTGGACTCCTCGGCTATAGCGAAGTGACTTAATTCCCTTTGTTCCCGTACAACCATCCTGGTACCGCCACCACCCTCGTTCTGCCCACCGTTAGTGCTACTGGCAGGGCCAGCGCCAGCGCCGTGTATCCTGTGGTTTGTTTGCCGCTGCTGCCTTTTTCGCTGTCAAGCTGCGGTGAAAATCGTTTTTAGAGGTGCGGCCCCGGTCGCGGTCGCGGCCGCGGACCAAGCCCAGACCCTGGCGGGAGTTACGAAAAGGAGCACGGAAAGCGGCGGGAAAAAATGGACTAAATTGATGTAGCAGGGAAAACTGTAGCACAGTTCTGTGCGCTCGACAGTCGATGCGTGCGGCTTTTAGTTGGGTGCAAACTTTATTAATTAATTTAATGCTCGGCAGCACTTTTCAATTTCACATGTCTGCTCTATGAATTTATGAAAGTGACTATCGGGCTTCGGATCCAAATCCAGCACAGAGAGCTTCGTTAGAAAGTGATGACCCAGCAGTGAGACGAGCCACGGCTGCAGCAGCTCCGCCTCCAAGCTGTGGGAAAAGGATTAGGAATTGGATTACCAGCACTGCTCCCGCTCCCTTGTGCGGTTGATACTTACTCCTGGTCAGGGGTACAATACGATGCGCGGTCGAGTTTCACTTCCTGGAACGTTAACATAATCGAGCAGTCCAAGGCCGTGGCGCCCAGCAAGTATGCCTGCTCCGGCTGCAGTTCATCGGTGGTGCCGGGCTGGGGCAGGGCTAGTAGTCCTCTGAGCACGTCATAAGTGGGTCGCGAGTGCCGGGCGTAGTTCGCTCGCCACATATAATCGAAGTGTTGCTGCAAATGCCAAGATATGTTACCTTCCGCTAAGCCAAGTGGTTGCCCTCCACGGGCCATTTAGCCGCCCTTTCAAGTCTACTTCAGATCGGGCCCTGCCTCGCTTGCCGCCCCTGCTGCCTGTCAAATGGCCGCACTTTGGAAAAAAAAAACCAAAGCAAAACTGCAACTACGGGTATCTGCCACGGTTTGGCTATAAAAAATAAACAAGGGGCGGGGCAGACAGGCAGCCAGGCGAGCGGGGGGGTGCATGGGGTGTTAGCTTACCTTTACCAGAAATTGCAAATTCAAAATTTTTTGCAGCACACAATTTTTTGGTAAGCGAAATATTTCCGCTTTGTTGATTTGTCCTTCACGTTGATTTTCATGCTGATTCTGATTCGGACTCGGATTCTCATTCTCATTCCGAGTTGTACTCGGAGTTGGCTGTGTTTCCGTTTCCGTTTGTGTTTCCGTTTGAGTTGCCTCTGCCAACACATAGCCGCACTGTTGTTGGCTTACTGCTCCTGCAGTTGTTTCCACTCCTATTCCGGGTGGCATTGTGTACCATTGGGTCGTTGGTTTTTCAGCAGCTGGTCTTGTCCCGCCGTAGGATTGACCAGCATTGACAAAGTCAGCATGCCACTTCTCGGCATCCTCCGCCCAGGCGACATTAGCGTCGCCAATTCCAGCATCCACACCAGCTCCAGCTTTTGTCTCCATTTCGCCAATTGAAACGCTACTCTGGCACTGACTGCCTCCGCCACTGCCACTGCCACTACGGTCCTGGCCGCAGCTCTGCGTTGGACTCACCTCGTATTCCCTGAGCAGGCAGGCAACGAGCAAATGTTTTATAAGCACCATAATTTCACTGGAGAATTTCAGAGATTTTATGGCGATGGCGATGGCGTTCGTGTTGGCGTTGCCATTGGTACAATTTTGTTTGTTAGCATTTTCAATGCGCATTCCCATTCCCAATTCCATTTCGTGTGGCCGTTGTCAACGTTGTGCCAAAAGGTGTTGAAACGACACAGCCAGAGAGAACCGAGGGAACAAGATAGAAATTTGGGGAAACAGTGAGAAAAAGGTGGATAGCTGGAGGGGAGAATGCAACCAGGAGTGGGGCAATGGCAATTTCGGTATTTTGGCACCCGAGAATTTGTGTTTGGCTTTTGCTTTCTGCATTATTTATTGAATATTTGCGTATTGCCGAATTTCGGAGGAATTTTCTACTCTAGCCAGTTCTTTTCATAGAAATCAATGTTAACAGGGCGGGAATAAAATAAGCCAAAGAGAATGAAATTATTAGAAAAGATAAAATATTTTTCAATGAATAGAAACAATATAAATGCAAAGAAAGAAGATTTTCTATGCTGAAATGAATGAAAATTCTGGTGCGGCATTGGGCATCATAAAATAGTCTTTCGGATGCACGGCTGGACCAACTTGACTTATATTTTCTCACTGTTAAGTGGGAACCTTGACTTTTTGGGATAGGGGAACCCGCATATTACTTTTGGATCCATCTTAAGATGTCACAACTTCGTGAGGCGTATTGTCGATACCATTGCCTGCCCTGCGGGGTTTTTCATTCTCTCTCTGCCCATCAATTTCCTTTGGTATTCTCATCACTCTGGATGGGGCTGACTTACCCGGGAAAGACACGCGAGTGCAATTCATCGAAGGAAATCGAATTCGCGTGATCGCCATAAATTAAATTGCCGTCCTGAAACACACGTAAATTATTTTGCGGGCAGGCGAAAAGTGCATTCAGGGCATCAAGCATACGACTGGGTGCGCTAAAAAAAAAATATACATATGGATGAAAAACAACGAAAAGAGATCACAGCATGAAAATCCGTTTAAACTCGTACAGTGCGAATCATAACTCTAAGGATTGTTAAAGCAAATTTATTTTCCAATTTGTTTACCTCAATCTACATATACGTCATGAATCGAGCTCACACTTGAGTCAACATTTGCATTAATTCATGAATGGACGATTTTATTAGTTTGAGCTACTTGTTAGTTGATTTATGGAATCCGAAGAGATATTGAAATGGTGGGAGCTACCTATTGGAGCCTTGATTATGCACTCATTCGGTTATATTTTGTATGTATCAAAGATGAAATAAATCAAATCGAATATACTATTACGTAATGGTATCGAACCAATAATGAATATTTAATTTAAATAGATAAAGTCTATTTATTGTTTACTCTTTGGAACTCTGGTCTGAGGCAATGGCACTATGGTTGTGGCACGCACTGGACTGAGTGTTCATATGAATAATACTATTAAAACTTATGTATGCACATATGGGATATATAAAAGATGCTGGCAGACAAAAGAGAAGCAAAAGAAATGGCAACAATTTGCGTGAGGCCATAACGGAGTTTGGGATGGAGGATGGTGAATGGTGGAGCTTTTCCTATATAAATGCAAGTGGGAAGTGGGGAAATTGGAAGCGTAGCAGGCGGTAAACCGGAATGAAAGCGCAAGCAAATTGAATTTTGTGCACGGATGCACGCATGACTTGAAACAGCGGGCCGCAAATAAACGAATGAAAAGAACGGGGACTGGGACTGGGATTGGGATTGCAGTTTAAGTGGACCAGACCAGCTCAGGCCGGGATGAGGCCGAGGTCAGACAGGGTCCTGGCATATAATAAAGGAAAAGGAATACAGAGCACAGGGCACACAAAAAGTGCACTTGGTGGAGGCAGACAGGAGGGAGCAAGCCGTAGCCGAAAGTGTTGGAATTATGAAGCACGACAGGACACGCAAATGGTGCAGATGGAAATTTATGACTCCATGTTCGTGCCAAAGGAGCGGCTGTTCCCTGTTCCTTGTTCATTGCCCCCTCTGTTTCCCATTCCAGATTCGATGACATACCCGGAGAATAGCTCTAGAGGACAGTAGTCGCCCAGTCGTTTGATTTTTCCGTTGCGTAGCTGTCGGAAAGAATCGAATGAAAAACTAAGAGCGTCTCTCCTATCTCCACTCCCGATGACTCACCTTCAATAGCTGCATGGCGCAATAGCGGCACTTGCACTTGTCTCGGGTCGACTTCGCCACTCCTGTTTGCTCCGGATCCTCCTCGCCTTTGCTCCTCTTTGGCATTGTCTCTGCTCCTGCTGGCATTAAATCAAATAAATCGTTGACATCACTTGCCAACTGGAGCCAGCCTTGTTTGGGTTTTATTTCGATGGCATATGTATCGCCCAGACCATGGACACCTCTTGTACCTGCCGTTGACGTTGCTGCGGCTCCTTCTCCTGCTCCTACCCCGGTTCCTGCTGCTCCTGTTGCTCCTGTGGCATCTCCTGTTGTGCCCTTTGCCTGAAAAATTATATTGCTTGGCTTATTTGCTCTTTTTTGCTGCCCTTTGGTGCTGCTCCGGTCCGGCAGTAAATGGAGTAAAAGGGAAGGTGGCCGTTCCGTCATGTACTGCCATGAAATATTATGCCTGCCGTGCACCGCGAACTTTTGCCCCGGCGTTGATGCCATTTTGACTTGAAAATGCAACGACAAGCGCAGCACGAGAACAACAAAAAAAGGTAGAAAGGTAAGGTCGATTCTTGAGACTATATGTTATCCGTTATTCCGATTTAAAAAGTCCAAAATGGTAATTTTTTATGGGGAAAAGGCTTTTCATTTTAAATGAGAAGAGCGTTTCTGACAGCCTGTTACATCTATCCACACGAATGCAACACACTCCCTGTGAGGTACGAGTACAGGGTATATTAACATCATGAATAAGAGGGAATGGGTACGGAGCAGCCATAGGTGGGACGGGTCAGGTTATCGCCGCTCCTAAAGCTGTTGTTGTTGTTGTTGTTGTTATTGTTATTGTTGTCGTTGTTGCCATTGTGACATAAAACAAAAGTTGTTGCGCTGATTGTATGATGAGTTATGAAGCCGTGGGGCCAGGCACGGAATGGACTACAGTACAGGGGCGTGAAGTGGAGTAGTGTGGAGTACAGGTGGCAGATGGGATTTTCTCGGTTCACGGCTTGAAATTGAAAATTAACATTTAAAGCCGCAATTAAGAGGTTTTTTATTCGGATTCCCAAGGTATTTTTTCCCCAACTCGTGGCTGATCCGTGGGTGATACTCCGCTCTGGAGTACGCCACACAATATGGCGTTAGTTATGGCCACACGTTATATATACAATTTTCTATTTTTTTTTTTGTTCTCCTGGCTCGCTGGTTGTTTGTTTCCTTTGCTTGCAATTTTATTTCGGTCAATGCTTTGGCACCAAAGCCATAAATTCAATATGTACCGACCGGCAGAGCGGTAGCAAGCGACCAAAAAAAAAAAAATGCCGAAAGCCCAAAAAAAAGGGGAGAAAGATCGACCCGTCGAATACCCTGAAAGGCATTGAAAAAGCGCCGATCCACCGCCTGGAACAGGACACTCTGGCTTATGGTTGAGCACTCAATCTGATATGGGGGAGCAGCCAACGGAGCTACACTGCTTGTGCTCATTTTTGGGGATGCAGAGCGTCATAAAACTTGCAGCTATGGCGGCACTTTCAAAGCAATTTCGCCGTCTTTTATAACCGCACAACCCCAAACCGAAACGAATCGAAACAGCTAGTGGCATTGGCAGTGGGCAATGGACATCGTTCTTCGTGTCCTGCAAGGTTTTCGGCCAGAAACAGCAGCAGAAACAGCAACACCAATGGCAAGTAACACCAACAAAGTGTTTACACTGTTGCCCACTTTAATTCAAAACAAAGAACCGTTGATTTATGTGCCTTGGCCAGGGTCCACGGCATGTCCGATGGTTTAGTAACTGGGAGTGGGTTTGGTTCGGGCATGGGTTCCGGATACCAAGGCACAAAGGCAAACGAAACCACAACGGCAGCGGCGGTAGCAACCGGTGCGGGTGCGGGTGCGGCGGCATCTAACGTATCCTGCACATATGGCCAAAAATGCCAATATTGTCCTTGTACAAAATACACAATTTATTTGGACAGCAGAAACACGGGGCTGGGCTCCATCTCCATGTCCGCCACCGTCCAAGCAGCAACATCAGCATCAGGGAGCAGCTACGATGGCGACTCACCTGTAAATTTCCAAGTAAAACATCGAACGTGGCAGGCAATTGGGTCACATCTGGCAGGAGTAGCCCGAATGGCCCCACAAATTCCTTATCCAGACGCGCAACTGCAACGAAAAACCGAGGGATAACCCCGGAAAAAAATGGATGAAGCAAAAGATGAAGGCGAGCGACGGCTGAATGAATGTAAAGTGCAAGCGCCAGCATCCGACTAAAGCTACGGTTACGGCGATTATTGATATATATACGCCGGCGGGTTAGACTGCGTTCCTTCCTCCGTTCCGCCGTCTACGGCGGTGCATGATAAATTGATGGTTAGTGCAGCGTGCAGCGTGCAACGTGTAGCCTGTTGCTGGCTGCTAGGCATAAGCCCAATTTTGATATATGGCCACGACTATTGGGCCAGCACACACTCACTGACGGCCTCCCCTAATCAGTCCCCAGAGATGGCAACTGAAACTGGAGCAAAAGAGCATCCATCTGTGTGTGCATCGTAAACGTCAGTGAAAGGGACTGGTCGGTTCGGATCGGGTCTGGTGGGGTCCAGTCTGGTCTGGTCTGGTCCGGTACAGGACGGAGCACTAAACTGTTCGTTTATGATTGATTGCAGTGGCTCTAAAAGGCTTTGGACAGCTGCCAGGACAACGACAAAGGCCAATGCGATGCACTGCAGCGAAAGCTGATCAAATACAAAATTGTTGCCACAATGGGCAAACACCAGCAGAGACACACACAGAGAAGAGGAGGTAAAACCAAAACAGTGGGTACTCTACGTAAAGTGCTTCTGACATGACATAATAATAATAATAAGGGTGAGCATCTTTCCAACAAATTAAACTCTTAACATCTGGAAAGAGTGGTTTCTTACGACTTTCAATGACCCGCTATAATCACTGTCCAAGCCCATTTACTCGTCACTTTCTTAGTTCCATTTATCACGAATTTTGCCTGTAAAAGTACTCACCCGGTCTGTGGGCGCGTATGTGCTCGTTTATCCAGAATCTATCGTCTTCCTTTGGTATGGCAACAATATCCGCTCCGCAGACAAACTCATTTCCTAATAGACGGCGCATTATCCCGATATAAGCCATAAAATCCGGCATTGTCAAGTCGCCAGCTGAAAGGGGCGTCGAGGAGGAGCCCGAGAGAACACAAGAGAAATGTGGATAAATGAAATAAACACATTTGATGCAATGGCCAAAAGATGCACAAGAGATAGAGAGATTCCCGGAGAGATGGGCAGATGGGTGGTGGGAAGAGTGAACGGCTAGAGCCAGCCAAGCGGCCAATAACCAAAGCACAATACACAAATTGGCTGGCAAGGAGAGGAGGCGGCACCAGGAGATGGAGCAGCAGCTTGCCTGGGTGTTTGAAGTTGCACGCAACCATTTCCGGTCCAACAAAAAAAAAAAATGAAATGTGAGAGTAGCTTGGAGCGTGGAGCGCCAACAATAAAAAGGATTCTTACATACGAACCTTTTACAGTTGATGCCTGGGCTCCGACCGAAAATTCGGTCTGCTCTTCCGCCCGCCCAATCTCTCCTGTCTCCTCTGCACCTTCCGCCTGCTTCTGCTGCACCTCCGCCTCCTTCTGCGGCGGCGGCGGCTGCTGTCTGCTGGATATCATTTTTGGCAAACGTAAAACTTTTTTAAATTGCGGCAAGGCAAGCACCAAATTTGCATTACCCTCCGCCCGATAGATCAACTCAATTTGGCGCAGTTCCATCTCCGCGGGCAGGTCCAGCAGGGCGTTCAGAGTCTGACTGGCTGACTGATGCCGAAGCTCGGCGCTGGAGGTGGCCTGGGGTGGTGCTGGGACAGAAGGGACTGGCACAGCTGTCATGGCTTGTGCGCGGGTGTTTCTGGTTCGTTGGCGTTGTCCAAATGCAACCGGCGCCCTCGCCTTCCTCGGTCTGTGGCGCCCCAGTGTTGATGATTGCCGATTGTGGCTTGTTGTGGTTGAGTTTTGCGGCTTTGCCACTGCTTTAGTTGTTGTGGCTGTGGCTGCGACTGTGGCTGTAGCTGTGACTGTTGTGTTTGTCCTCTGGGTCACATTTATTGACCGCCGCCACGATAAGATGCAGCAGCCAAGAAGGCGTCGCCGGCTTAAAACAGAAGAACCGCAACCATTGAATTGGCCTTTAAACGGTTTATTTCAGCTCTGGTAGCTATTCCGTAGCGGATAATCTGATTAAATTATGGATGAGGCTAAGAAAAGGAAGATCACAAGGTATATGTCGACAATTACTGATGCTTCCAAGTCCACTGCAGACTCTACTCTGTAAATTAAACATAAATTCCATTAGAATTCTGTATTTCGACAGCCGCTGGAAGACTTACCCTCACCTGGCCTTTCAAGCCGCAGTCAATGGTATTAGAGTGCAATCAATATCGTCTTCAGAGAGCATATATATATCATATATATGCTTTCACTTTATTTCAATAAAAAAAAGCGCAAATTTCGAAAACAAAAGGCGACCAGCTGTTGATCTTGCTCAGCGCTGGCATTTTTCAGTTTCAGTGTGGTCAATTCAGCTATTTTATAGCTGGGAAAAATGTATAGCTCCAAGAGCCAAAAGTCTGGCTAATCTATACACCTATCAATATTGAAGAATATGTCGAAATAGACAACATATTGGGAGTTTTGGGATATTATTGAAAAAACATGCAACATATTATGCTAATTTTTAATTCAGCTCTTTACTTCATGCCATCCCACAAAAACAGCTATATTTAAGTTATAAAAAGTAGGCAACACTGATGACTACCGAAGAGAAATACCAATGTTGGTATTTTTCTGACATGTTAAGAGTGACCATCGCTGGCTCGGCGCACTCTTCTGACAATTCAAAAACAGGGCTACATTTTTCACATATTTCAGTACTATTTATTTGTTTTGCTTAACAGGGCCATTTAGTTCCTGCGAATGTACTGAGTCCGGTCCGTTTGGATGAGAGTATGGCCGCCAGCATTCAGCACTTGGGTAGCTACTGAAGCGAAGTATGCATTGATAAGCAATCAATTTAATCTGGGAAATGCGTTTCCGATCACTTACCAGCCTCCGCCGTCGTGAGGGCAATGAGAGCAAATACAAAGCCGCAGATCTTCAGGCAGTTCATGTTCATGCTGTGAAATCTGGTTCTACAATGATTATCCGATACTGAGGCGCGACACTTATATACCCGCTAGGTGCCCGAGACTGCGAATTCAATGGCTGGGTGTGCGCATGGGGATTCGGAATTTCCAATACTGTAAAAAATACCCGAGGGTCACGACACTGATAATGTGATTGCAGCCAACGTGCAAAGGAAAGCTACACAGATTGAAGTATATTAGATCTTTCTGATTTCAAAAACAAACGGTTGCTTTATTCTTCACTAATGATCACTCTATTAGCATAATAAACATTTTTAATATACATTTTTCCATTGAAAGACTTTTACTAGCGTTTCCAGAGAAATATTGCAATACTGAACTTAATATGCAGACGCTTAACAAAGTAATAAACGTGATGCAAATTATGAATATCTAAGATAATGCTAAACGTGATTGTAAACAGATCTCTCTCTCTCTCTCTCCCTCTCTATCTGAATTACAGTATTCTCTGTTTATAAACAGTACCAGTTTTCCGAAAGTACATACACGTTCTCAGATCAGATTATAATCAGCATCAACAGAATGCGTAGAAAACCCAGACCGGTTATCGATTAACACGAATCCAATCATTGCACAAAACAAACGGCGAAGCTTTGATTGACTACTAAAGAGATTAAGATGCTCTTTTGACCTGTGCAATTCCCCTATCTGGGAGGAGGGAATTTCCCAGTACAAGCACACTCTGCAGTCGCTGAGCTATAAAAGATCGAGCCGATCAGCTGTGGGGCATCAGTATCACCACAGTCGTACCGAAAACCAAAACAAAAACCAAATCACCATGAAGTTCTTCCAAGCTGCTGCCCTGCTCCTGGCCATGCTCGCCGCCCTGGCCAATGCCGAGCCCGTACCCAAGCGTAAGTAGGAGAATGGGAAAACTAATTTTGTATAAAGTTCATTTAAATAAATATACGTACGATGTACATCCTTTGCAGCTGGAACTGTGCTGATCCAGACCGACAATACTCAGTACATTCGCACCGGCTAGAAGTTTCCGAGTTTCCGAGTACAAGGACTACAAATGTTTGTGTTGACTGACGGCGTTGATTTTCATGAATAAAAATGAATTGCTAAGGAAATGAGAAAATAAATATGCTTGTCAAAAGGAATTGTGCATTTTCACAGCTAGTTTGCATCATTTGAGACAGTTCTGCTGGAACGAGAACTGGCTTGTGTTCGTTATCACCTTTCAGAGATTGATTGAAGCGCATTCTGCCTTGACTTTATCGCTTATTCTTTATACTCGTTTGTAGTATTTGCACCCAGCTCATTGCCATTCTCGCCCGTCTAGACATGTCGTACAGAACTTGTTGTTATTCGCATCCAAATGGAAATTGTTCAAAGCTTGTTTTAATTGTTTGACTTGCAAACTGCTGACGAAAGGGCCAGCGGGTCGGATGGGATGGGATGCGACTGCGACTCGAACTGGTGCTGTGGCCACTCGAAAACAGCTCCATATTTACATCTACATACTATCTGCTATAGCTATATGTACACTTGCTTCACGGGGGAACAAGATTCGGGGGTAAACTTTAAACAATTTTCCAAGTGGAAACTATTTGGTCGTCCTGTTTCAGCCACAGCTACGGCCATTGTTCCACTTTGTGTGTGCCGTCAGAGTGGCGCCACGCCACGCCATACCATACACCCACTGATTCGCCCCCACCCCCGCCCCTGCTACTATATGGTTCGTTACTTCAACAATTATTTTCAACTTTTACCGCAAATATTTCCTTCGTTGGTTTTACGCCTGAAATAAATCGTAATAGAAGCTGCCGCAGCGCGACGGTCTGTCCGTCCGGTTAACAGTTCAAAAAGTCTAGCGGCGACAAGGTGGTAGAGTGGGGAGTAGGGGCTGGTAATTTCCCAAAGATAATCCTTTTGATATTCCACCGGAGGAATTCCTGGATTTACGCAACCAGCCACTGCCCCCTTTTGACCGTGTTTGAAGTAGCTGAAAGCCAACAATGCAGCTCTCTCTGTCCCCCAACGCAGCTCAGCCAATGCTTTGGACGGCAGTCAATAATTGGGGAAGGAGTGGGTTCCCGTTCCCTACCAATATCTACCGTATGTTTTGGGAAATTCGGCGCCGATTTACGCCAGCGGCTTCAGAGTCCAGTTCTGCTCCGTGCATTTTGTTTCGGTTCCGTATGGATGGCTGCTATGATGGCTGATTTCAAAGCGAATTTCAGTGGGAATTTTTGGAGGAACTTTTAAGCCAATCAGTATTCGATTCCCTGTTTGGCCAGCAGGCGTTTATTGAAAATTAATTTAGACAGTTTTTAGAACGGCAGGAGCACTCAAACGCTGGAGCACAGCCAGGCCCAAGGCATTCCAGGGCGAAAATGCCCTGCAGGCAAACAAAAGCGTAACCATTTCCCCAGGTGAGCTCGTGCTCAGCCAGCATTCTCCCCTTCCATTTTGGCTACGTACTGATGCCCCAGTGGAGTATGCAGACAGCCAGTCAAATACTCCATGTCTGACCAAGAGCACAGACAGAGGTGGAGCAAAGCCACTTACGCTTACGTAGTGCAAAAATCACCAAGTCAAAGGCTTTATCGCTTCTCAGGCATTTCAATGTATTTCAAAAATCGAATTTTCCGCTTTGATGTTGGATTTGATTTGATGTGCACTCTCCTAGAGGAAGGAGGAAGGTTTTAAGGTCTTAACCCATGCTTGAATGATTTTTGAATGGTGTTGAAAACTCTCTACGTGGACTCGGCTTCAACTCCCACGATCGAAGGTGCTTATTTCTGGAACTCCAAGTTGCTAACCAATTTTATGGCACAAAAATATAATTTTATAATATTTATTTATGAGAATATATATAAAAAATGCAACTTAATAATCAAACAGGATGTGAATAAAGCAATGAATTGTATCTTGTATCTGTTCCAGGAGAGAGTCAAATAAAGTTGAAATGGACAGAGCGATTCCCCAGTGGCTGCTCCTGCCGAGCGTTGCACTTGATCCTGTTACCATCGCGACCGCAGAGAGCACCGAACTGGGATAACTGCTCCGAGCTGATGGGGAAGATGTGGGTGTTAATCAGCCACATGGTGGGCACGACCTGGACACCGTTGTCGTAGGTGCCCGTGTAGCTGTAGAAGCTGCTGCCGAAGGGATTCATTAAGGAGGCTAGATCAAAGGCCGGCAATTCGATTTTCGAGTCGGGATGCGCGACGCAGCGCAGGTTTTCAGTGATCTGGGTTAATGGGTCGTTCCTCCCTCCCATCTGGAGAAACAGATAGGAGACCGACACGTGCTGGAAGGGCACCCGGTCCTGGTAGCAGCGGTGCAGCACCTGCATCTCCAGCGAGAACTGCACCGAGTCTATCGAGTGCTCGGCGCGCAGCTCGCCCCACTTGAAGCACGCCTCCACCAAGTGGTACTGGTCCGGCAGCTCGCCCCCGCTCAGTTGGGGCACCATGTTTGACTCGCAGCAGATGCGCAGGATCACCGTGCTGCCGTTGTTCTCCAGCAGCATGGCCAGAGGCAGGTGGTCGTAGTTTGTCCAGACCAGCTGCCTGCCCAGCACCGTCTTGCGCGTCATTTTCCGCACTATGTTGATGGGCGTCGGCTGTGGGTCCAGCTTCCGCTTAGGCTTCTTGGTAGTTATGACCCCAACCACCGCCTGGACGATGAGGCTTACCGCACTCGCGTTGTTAAGGAAAGCCAGGGACAGAATGCAGCTGACCAAAATCGTCAAGACCTGCGAACCTTGCGCGTAACATATCACAATTCCAAAGCCCTGCATAAACTGCTGCCAGATATCGAAAAACAGGTATAGCATCCTGATGCAGTGAATACTTTTAGTTATCTGAATTTGCTTTAAGAATTTCACAAATCAAAGTTAAACGCCAAGTGGAGTATGATTCTGAATGGAAAATATCACAGCTGATTCGGAGTGTACTCAGTTTTAGAATAATGAAGTTTACTCCGGTCTCTAGGGAGAAATGGGAACGATTGAATCGGTAAGGAGTGATAATTGAAATGTCTGCCTTACACATGAGCAACTACCAATGGAATTTCCATGCAAACAGACCCAAAATTGGCACAGATAGGCCAAAGCCAGTCTGACTGCACTGAAGCAGCAAAGGGCCACCGAATGGCCAAACATGTTAAACTAAATGCAATCCAATTGGCCCGCCATTGACTCCCATAATCAACTAATTGCTCAACAAGAGCCCAGTGCCTTGGCCAGAGTCTGGACTGAATATGAGAGACGCATGAGCATAATCTATTGGGGCCAGCGGACCGTAGTTTGATTAGCGATGGAGAGGAGGGCAGGGAGGCTGCTGCAATTCAAGGCGAGTCAGCGTCAGGTGCAGCATGCCGATTTTGAATTTGAGGCGAGTCACAAGTGGAATGTAAATGAAGCTTCCGCCATTCGAGTTGCAATTGACTTGGCCCGGGCTCTGACTCTGACTATGATTCGGAAAACTGGAGACACTGACATAGGAGATGGGAGATGGGAGAATGGTAGATTTATTAATTACCAATTGTGGGTCGAACAAGGTAGACCCGAGCCTGGTCAGCCATTGACGGTCATATGAACGTCTGTTCATGTGTGCTTTTGTGGGTGGATTGGGCTTTGAAGTTTTGTTGCTCCAAAGTGAGCCATTCCAGGCCACTCGTATTGTGACCCGACCCCCAATGGACACGAATGCATGGCCTCCTTTGTTTGGGGTACGGTGGATCCATTGAAAGCGCTGAGCCATAAAGCAGATAGGCCTGGGACAACGATGTCGGTTTATGGCACTTTATGGGAGCGGAGCAGAGAACGAGAACGAGAACGGGAACAACCAACAAGAGGCAGTAGACGACCACCAGCACACTCGAACGCACAGCTGTGGCTGTGTGTGCCGTGGGCCCAGTACCGTGTGCCTATGGCAGCTTATATAAATACGAGTAGCTATCCCAGTAAACGGGTAACGCACACAGGAGAATCGAGTCGAGTCCGGGTCTGTTCTGTTCTGGTTTGGTCTGTGGCTGATCCTGCATCCTGGATGCCAAAGTTCTGGGCGCGTGCTTCATAAAATAGTCATAATGCATGTTTTTATGAAATATGAAGTGGCCAAAAAGTTGCTGCCCCAGCATTACTCGCACCGCCACTCTCCACACGGCTCCACACCGCTCCAGACCACTCCACACATCCACCTATCCACCGTTCGTTCGGGAGTCTGGCCTATTTGCTGCATATTCCTAAGCCAAAAACCAAAATGTAAATATTTTGCCATGTAATTATTTGTATACAGCACCGGAAGTCAAACCCCCCCACCCCCCATCACTACAGCTTCTGTGTGCGTGTGTTTGTGCAAAGTCTTATTTGTATTGGTGAGGCCATTAAAAGTTTCAGAGTCCTTCTCACGGGAGCTTAAGGCCAAAGCACTGAAATTGCATTGGGATTCTGAGCTTGTCTGCCATAAAATAATCATCCACTGCCAACCCAAATTTGGCCAAAAGGATTTCCCAGTTTTATACTATTCAAAATGTGTTGAATGGGCCGACCCAGTAGACCACGATTGAAGATCGAGACCAGACAGACTCCCACCGATATTCAGACCGACGAAACTATGAATATAAATTATTGTTGGGTTGTTGGGTATTCAATATAGACATTTATTATAATATTAAAAGCTTTTAATTACAACACTCATTTTGTTGAACTCGTACATGCAGATTTAATTGAAACACACAGGAATTTTGGAATTAACGTGGCTTAAGACATATTTGTGTATTGTTTTGGCAAGAAGTTAGTCCCTGGCTGCCATGCGGGAGTGTATGGTGTCGTAGTCAGCCTTCGTTACTTGTGGCTGTGACTGTTGTGACGCGGCACGTTTGTCCGGGGACTGGACTGGGGGGAATCGCCGGGCGTGTGTTCATAGCTACATGGCGGTATGTATGTAAATTATTGTTGGGTATTCAATACAGACATTTATTATAGTATTATAGGCTTTTAATTACAACACTCATTTGTTGAACTCGTACATGCAGATTTAATTGAAACACACAGGAATTTTGGAATTAACGTGGCTTTAGACATATTTGTGTATTGTTTTGGCAAGAAGTTAGTCCCTGGCTTCCATGCGGGAGATGTATATTCGCAGTGCAGTTTCGTAGTCAACCTTTTCGATTACTTTGATGGCTGTGACTTCTTGTTGCTTGACGAACTCGGGGCACGATTTGTCCACGGGACTATGCATGTATTGTTCGCTAGAGCCGTACAAGCAGTTTACGCAGAACTTATCAGCGGTACAGACATCGCCGGGAGCAGTGTGTTGTATAGCTGAGCATCGGCGGCATGCTGTAGGCCCCCTGCAGGAGGCTGTGGGGTGTCCCAGCCTTAGACAGTTTCGGCATTGAAGGGGCAAGGGGATGAATGGTGTCACAGTGACCAAGTCGTAGCCGATAGAAAGTGTTGACGGCAGAGTGGCGGAAGCAAACGTTAGTACAACGAGGCCGGTACTCCTTAGCTTGCGTTTCTTGGGTAGCTTTCGCACTCTCACGACATTCTGTGACATCAGTTCACGCAATATGACGCCCACTCCAATGTGACTCAGTCCCTTGCAGAAGATGACTCCTTTGGAAAAATTGAGGGTTCTGTGTTCGCTTACGCAGACGGGAATGCCGTGAATGGCGTTTACCGCCATTAGTTGGTGCGCTTGCCCCACGTTCTTGGTTCTTACCAAAAGAAATCCACCTCGGGTTTTTCGACACATGTCCACTTCGCCCTCGCAACAGCGATCAATTGCTTCTTTGATCACGAATGGCGATACCTCTACGAATGTATTATTGTCTAGTCTTTTGATTACCACATATCTCGGTTCGTCTTTGTAAGCCGCTGGAGCTGACATTTTGCTGGAATTTGTATATCTACTCGTATGTATCTTTCGAGACTTCTGTGTATCCGGAGGATTGCTTCTTCGCCCGTAGCACGTCCTTACAACTCGGAGTCTGTTTTAATACTGACCTGTTGGTCAGCTATCTTATGTTGATGCTGCCATCAAGAGTATGTTTGTTTGTTGGCTAAGAAGGGTTTGGTTTGCACCTAAGCCTTTTACGCCATAACCTCATTATGTTCGGTGCAGTAATTTAATTATACTTGCAAGTTTGCGGTTAAAATCATGTCATATGCAGAACAGCAATGAGATGGCTGCCTGCTGTGATATCACTACAATTATAACTAGAAACTTTATAATGCATTTATCACTCTCGAACTTGTGCTGCACTCTCCGGTGGAAATATGTACAATGCAGAAAACTTATAACGGCACTCGAACGATGCAACCAAAGGAAACTTTTCCGGAGAGTGAAGCCTGATTTGTTGGTGCCAAAAAGTTCCCTTTCTTTCCTTCCATATCGGAAGTGTGCACTTCATAATGATGAACCAATAAATTAAGCAATAAAGTCTAGAGTTCTCTTAGCACAGAATTTGTATCATACTGGACCATTTCATTTCACTTGGAGGAGACTACCCTCTGGTCCCTTGAGACTTTATTTCTAACAGAATTGGCCCCGAACGAGCAAATGGTATCAAATTTCTACTGCAAAGAGTTATTAATCCGCTGCGCTCCTTGCTTGTTTACTTGGAATTATGCAAATTCCAGCACAATCACAGAAGCGATGAGACCCAATGACAAATACTCCCCTCCGAAATGCATCTCATTTCTCCACCAACCTCCTCTCTGTCATACCCTTGAGTGCTTACTTTTCGTTGGAAATTGAAAAGAAATTATTATAACTTGTATTTGCATTGCCCTGGCCTGGCCGTGGTGGAGGACAGAAGAAGGGAGATCCAAGGCTGGGCCGCCTCGAGCACAGTTGCTGCTAAAAGTTTTCGGCTTTTTTGGACAGCAAAAGTCACGGCAAAAGGCTCCATGACCAGCCAGCCAGAAGAGTACGAGAGTATGCCCTGTGCAAATACGTGCAGTTTAGAGGGGAATTTATTCCCCTAACCCTGACTGCCATGCCATCCATGGATCTTCCGGGTCTTGGATATGCTGCCCCGCCAGCCCTTGCCACGAGGTTTGTTATTAAAAAACTTTGCGCCGAGTGCGTTCCATGTTTGGTTCTGCTCGGGGGTTTTTTTTATTTCTCCAAAGATAGTTAAAGTTCGAAATTAAAAGGATTAGCAAAGGACGGGGACGGGCCGCTGCATAGGAAAATAACATGGTAGTCTATTTGATGCTAAGGTTATCCTTTTTTCCGCGCCAAATTTGGGCTTACGGGAAAGTTTTTTGATTGCAAACTTTTTATGGAGTGGCGGGCACAGGAAACGGCGACAAATTTCTCCCATTTTTTTTTTCATTTGTTTTGGTGTATGATAAGCAAGCAGTGTGCACCACTTGATTGGCAAGCAGTTGTCTTTGTTTTTTCAGGCTCGTCTCGAACGATGATTTGATTGCATTTCCTCTTTGCAGGTGGCAATTGTTTATGCAAGAGCTTCTCCCCAAATGAAATCTAATTCAGTTTCTAATAATACACAGAAGGGAGAGAGAAATGAGTGTGGATAGGGGCCGGAGCCGGAGCTTGGCAGAACTTTGCCAAGATTTTCTTTTGTGCCATTCGAAACTTTTGCACATTGGCCTTTTACCTCCCTCTGTCCATATCTGTGTGTGCTTTTGTTCAAGTTCAAAATTGAAAAGCAAAACTTGGAGCCAATTGAAACTGCATTTGTGTACAATACATTCGAGCCGTCCAAAGTTCGGGGGTTCCTGGGTGGGTCTGTCTATATGTCGCATCAAGCTGTCAACACTTTGCTTTGCCTTTGACTCGAGCACCGGGCTCGGAAACTTGCCCTACCCCTACCCCTAGCCCGCTAGCCATTAGTTGTTGTTTATCGGAGCGCAAAAGTTTGGCACGAAAAGTTGGAAGAAGTTTCTCCTCTCCTCTCCTCAGCAGGCGTAAAGGAGTTGTAGCAAAAACTATTAAAAGTGTATCGACTCATTTGAGTCATGGCCATTTTTTAGACAAGCTTATCGAATTACATGGATTACGGCAGGATAGAGTAAATACAGCGACAGGCAGTCGAATGATAACCATGTTTATGCCACTTTAATATTCCATTTTCGCTTTCTGCTCTGCGCCGCTCTTTTGTTGCTTTTAGTTCGAACAGCAAAGCGAAAGCCAAATCAATGACAAACTGAAAGTCGAAAGGTTCACTGGATGATGGCAAGTGCCAAGGATAAAGCATTTTGCATGCCAACTAACAGAAGATCCAACGGAACCACTGCGAGTGTGCACGGACACGGACACGGCTACGGACACGACTCCTGCAGTTTGTCGATAACTGCTCCCCCTGCTCTCTCCCTCTCTCCTTCTAAAGAACAACTCTCAAAAGGCAAGGGAACAGGGTGTGCTGGTCATGTCAATGGACGCAAAGTGTCCATGCTACGTGACTGACATTAAGTATTGGCATTGCCCTTCCTTGGCACTTCTTCCTGGCCATTCTCATTTCTTTTTCCATCTTTTGACCTTCGCCACGTTTATTACGCTTTGCAAAAATCATGCAAATGTCCTGGCCAAAGGATGCTGGGCGGGCCAGCGCGGCTTATGGCAGATTTCGAGCACAGCAGAGCAGTGCAAAGTGTCCTCTAGTCTAGTCCTCTCTCTCTCTCGTCTAATGGTAATGGGTCTTAAATGCGCCTTTCAACCTTGCCAGCTGCATGACACTAGCGGTGGATCCTCATCGTCGCACCCACCCCCACAGGAGGGGAGCGGAAGGATGGTCAACGTGAAAATAATGTGTCAAAATATAAAGGAGTAGCCGGGCTGGCCGAGAGGCACTCAATTTGAGTGCACTTGTTAACGGCGAAAGCTCACAAAAAGGAAGTCCAAGGAACCCCCGAATAATGTTTGGCATCTCCCCGCCCCCCAAGCACATAGAAAGTGAAGTTGATTTCCGACCACCTTGATAAGGGTAGAGACCCCGACCCCGAACCCGAGTGTTACGATAAGCGAAGATTTAATGGGGAAAATGACTGATTAACAAGGAAGGCCGTAAAACATGTAATTATTTATTAACTTATTATGAGAGCATGAGTTTACTTTCTAAGCAGTTAAATCAGTACGGACAAGGTTCCACATAAAGCAGCCTCCCCTCGAATCTGCGTCAATCAGTTCGCCATCATGGCCATTCGCCATTCGCCATTCCATTACCATTTCAATTCCCTGCACAATTTAATTTACATTCCATTCTGCATTCTCATTTTTTTTGCTGCTAGTCTCGGATTCTACGCGATTCTCAATGAGGGAAAACAAATAATTTTCTTTCCTTCATTTGCAGCATTTGCAGTGCTCTGGAATTGATGCTTTGCCTTTGTCGCTGGTTTCTCCTACCTTCCTACCTTGCCCCGCACTACTTTCTCTTGATTTTGATATTTCTCTTGCCCTTGGCGGTGGCAGTGGCTCCCGCTCAATGGTATTGGTGGCGTGGAAGCGAGTCGCGTTCTGGGATTTGGCTCTGCCGTTGGCATTAATATGCAAAGTATGATATGCAGTTGAGCTGCGATTTGTTGCACTCGATTGAGTTGGCTGCAAATTTACATGCAGCAAATATTGAAACGCCAGCCACGTGCCCCAACCACCAGGCACGAGGAGTAACAACTGAGTGGGCGAAGCAAAATATTTTCAGTTCATTAATGTTGTGCCATGAGAGTGTCATCCGAATTTGATTTGTCAATTCTAATCGTATTATGATTTGTGCATTGTAAGTGGCAGTTGCCAACAGCTACAATTTGTGGCAAGAGTTCCACCTGCAGGAGCAGCTGAAGAGTTCAATTTACACTTGGCTAGCCCCCCATACACACACAGAGCACAGCAGAGCAGAGCATTCGCATTGAATTTCAATTAGAGCCGCTCTCCATCCGTCGCACGTGGCATGGCATCCGTGGCACATTGTCAGCGCCCGCATTTGGCCCTTCGCTCGGCTTTGACTCAGGGAAGGGTGGGGAGGAAGCGTTGCGCGTGCCTTTCGACCGAGGCGACACACAACACACGACACACGACCTGCGGGCAGCGTCTGCAACAATTCCTACCTGTTGAGCCACGCCCTGAACCGGAGGACACGTGTGCATTAAGCCCGACGGCAAAGAGTTAACATGTTGATCACCCGCTGGCAGGGAATGGTGGGATGGCAGGAAAGCCGGAAAGGTGCAAAAATGCAATGAACTCGAAAGAATATGCTCGGCATCAATGAATTTGTTGAAATACTTTGCATAGCCAGCTAAACCATGGATTTTCCCGCAATAAAAAAATAAGAGCGGAAAAGGCGGAGGGGCAGGGCACACTGTGCGAATTCCGAATGTCAGCATATGAAATTTCTTATGCAGAATTACAGAGTGCCAAATCGCAGGAGTGAACAGAGCACAAAGTTAACATAGAGCATAACAACCAGTTGACTCCAGGCAGCGTTCACTGTAGAGATATTTACCTACATAGAGCAAACGGAATTGCAAACGCCGACCAAAAGGAAGCAATAGCTCATAAGCACAAATGCTGCAGGAGCTGCCGCCGGAATGAGGTACGGCGGGATGAGGGCACCCCACACACGCAGGATGCGCATTGGCTTGGGTCGAACCAGAACAAATAGTCGGGTAGGCAGGAAACTCGGCCAGAATATGGCTGCAGTAAATTGGGCAAAGTCCGTGCAAATCCTTTCGTCCTAATGTGTTGTTTGTGCTGCAACTGAGCTCATTGAGGCCTCATTGGGCCGACAACTAATAGGATTGGCCCGAGCCCAGGTCCGACTGGCCGAGAGTGAGATCAGGCCGGGGCGTATTCATGAATGAGCAGAGCCGCTAACAAAGCTGGCCCAGGATCGAGGAAGCCGTCTAATCTGTGAGCGTTTTCCTTAC